GCCCTCTCCCAGGCCCACACTCCATCCTGTCTCCCCGCTTCTTCCCCATGCTCACCCCATGGGGATAACCCACCTAGGGTCCCTCCTTGAGGCCAAACAGCTACTCACCACAGCTGCCCCATGCTCACATCTCAAGCACTTGTACAGAGAGAGAAACTCAGCCTGCCCACAGCACCCGGCTGCTGCACAAAGAGCCTCAGCCCGCGGCTGCACCTCCACACACCTGCAGCCCATCAGCAGGGCCAGCAGAAAAGGCCAGCGGCACCTGCCTGGGGTGGCCACTAATTGGCTTGGTGCAGCCCTTGGCTGGTGCCCCCTCCTGCAGGGAGGCTGCAGCGTGTGGGACACGGACATGGAGTATGGACACGGACACTCATGATGCTGTGGGTGCTGCGTTGCCCGGCCCTGTGCAACACCGCCTGCCCATTTCACAGCACCTGAAATGGGCTTTGTTTGCCATGGTGGGAAAAGGATGGAGCAGGAGGGTTTTCCATCTAAGTCAAAAAGGGAAACACAGACATACAGAGAATGCAAGGATCTGGAGACATAAAAGTGGGGCTACAAACCGATCTCTCTCTAAATTTTGTTTATTAAAGTTTGCCATGTTCCCGGCAGTTAGAAGTGGCCTAAATAGTGTAACAGCCTTGCAAATCTTGGGAGATACTTCATAAAAGGATGTTTGTTTTAGCACTTAGGATCTTAATTTTATTAGGCCAGTTAAGCAAGAAAGTTTTTTTTCTTCCCTTTTTTTTTTTTAAAAAAAAAAAACGCTTGTTAATACAAGGCAAGCCATGCTGCTTCTCTATAAAGAGCTTTATAGTTGCTTACAGTGAGTAACCAAAGCTAAACTAACTTAAACCACACTGAGGTTTACAGCCAGAGCTATTCCTTATATTCCTTGTACTTTCCATCTGTACCTGGTACAAAATCTGACCTAAATTCTTTTATAGAAAAGCACTGGTTTGTGTAAGGACTCTAAGCAAACTAGAGTTAACTGATGGGTATAAGCTACAGCTGTGGTAGCTCCCCTCCTCCCAAGGAACCAGCGGTATCCTTGATGAAATGCTTGTGAAGAATAATACATTTGAAGTCAAATGTTATCTGCTAATTGACAGGATGATTTCAACAATGTAACCTTATCTTGGATAAATAAACTTCTAAGGAAACTTTGAGCCAGAAAGGGCAAATGAGATGTTTGAGATTCCTTTTCTGCTACAGAAGGTCTTGTTTTCCTAGTGCACTTCAATAGCAAAGGCTAAATGTGAAAGAGAAGCTGAGGGACCAAAAGGGAGGCTCAGTTCCCTGTTTATATTTGTTTCTAACTCAGTGGTTTTCATAGTAGGAAACAGGTTTTAGAGGGATGTGTTAAAGATTGTGGTAGCAAAATAATGAACATTTATTTTTTCCTTTCCTGTTATCTTATTTGAAAGCAAGTGATAACATTTTAATGTGTCTGTAGCATTTTGTTCTGCAAATTCTTATACATTCTATATTAACCTTACTTGTCAGCAAAAAAAGAAAAGAAGTTTTAAAATTGATGTTTTCAACATATAACACAATATGTTTTGTCTGTGAAGAGTATTGTACCTCCAACATTACAATGCTGCACATCCAACATGGGGCTGCAGACAAGGAAGTAGAAGTGAGAAAGCTTTGAGACAAACATGAAGCAATGAATAAGGGAAGAAGATCACAGGGAAAAGGATTCCAAGGAATGAAATAAACATTTCTACAAAAGGACTGCAAATTTTTTTAAAGAAATGTAGTTTTTGCCTGTACTGCGACCTGTCTGTATCTTTGATCACTTTTCAAAGACATCAGAATTCAGTTGTTCTATCAAGTGCATTGTACTTCTGTAAAATGATTTGCCTTATAAGGCACAGCTGATCTTAGACCAAATGAAAGCTGTGGTCATTAGAACCATGTACATATTCTCAAATGAAGTTTGTCTTCTGAAACTCCAGGTCCAAGTCTTTCCACGGTGATCTAAGTGGTAGACATATTCCCACATGTGCAGGACTGTTCTCTCCTTAACCTCCTTGCACATGAGCTATTACTGAGCACCAATCTGTTTTCAAGGGAAGGTTTTTAATCCTACATAGAAGATTAATCTTCATTACAAAAGATAAATCATATTGTGAAATGGGTTTTCAAACAATATGAAGGATGATTTTATGTCATAAACATTGCAAAAAAAGTGTGTATGGTTAGAAAAACTTTGATGTCAAGAACTAAGCGGGGGGAAGTGGAGAGAGTTAAACAATTACACTGACTTGTGATGAGCTGAGCACTGAAGAAATGCATTTTCCAAAGCTGTGGCTTAGCCTGTACCAGCAAGGCCAAATCTGATTCTCCTGGGTGGCCATAGCAACCAAAGCCTGGAGCCCTCTGGCTGCGCTGCTGCTTCGGGCTTCCAAAACACTTCCTTCTCTATCTGGGGCTGTGATCTGATGAATTAATTCCAAGCAGGATTACCAAAGAAGTCCGATTATTTATCTAGTGATCTTGCTATGTCTTCTCTAGAAAGGTCTTCCAGCTTACAGAAATGGCATCTTCCTACCTTTAATGTTGAAAAATGTATTTATATTCTTTCAAGGTCAAACTTCAGTCATTTTCTGACTAACAGCTACAAGAACTCTGATGAGCATAGGAGACATGTCCCGTAGTCTGTCCAGCTCAGTGAAAATGTCAGTCCTGTGCAGGAACGGAATAAAATAAATGATGTGTGGTGCTTAGGTGATATGCCAATTTATGGGATGCAGTATTCTTAAATGCACACCATACGGCATTTTGAGCAGCTCAGTTTACTAATCTGGACACAGCCTCTCCATTTAGCTGGGCCAAGTATACTTGGGAAGCTCCCAAGTCACTAGCGCTGTAGTGAGCCTTAGTTATGTGGCTGACTGAGTCCTTATAAATCTGTTTGGGATTCCATGCTGATGACTGCATGCAAACACTCCTCCACCATTCTGTCTAGGACCAGGATTGCAGGGACCACACAGAAGCAATGATCCATCCGTTCCACCTAATTGTTGTTTGTGGTGAAGGGAAGGCGGCCAGATAGGGCGTCGCTTCGCACAGAACGACAGCTTCAGCTTAGTAATGGCCTTCTCTTAAGGCCCTCAGATTGATGACTGACTTACTCCAGATGAGACTCCCAGGACTCATCCAAAGTCTATTGCAGAGAAAGTCTACAGAAGAGTCTTGGATCTTTAGTTCCTAGTAATAAAAAAAATAATAATAATAAAAAGGTCAGCAAAATAATCAGGGCCTGTTCAGCATTCTATAGAGGGTACTTAGGAATCACTTGTGAAGATGAGATAGCTTTAGAGAGAAAGGGGATTATTGATGAAGAAACGTTTTCTTCATCAAGGAGGACAGCAAGGAAAATGTGAGAATGGATCAGCAACATCTCACAGAGAGTAAACACAGGCTCGAGTATCTGCTACTTCCCCCCTACCAGGTAAAAATGGGGTCTAATGAAAAACAGCATCTTGAAGGAATGAACTGAAAAAATACAGCTCAAACTGAAATACAGAACTCAGAATTGTATTACTGGAGTCAGCTCTAGAGAGAAGTTCAGGTGTAGGAAGAGTGTATTTTAGAAGGCTGAAGGGAGCTTTGTGTGCCAGGAATTCTACAGTGAGCATGGCTGATGTTAAGTATAAGGTAGCAAAATATGAAACAGAGATGGAAACATAGGAGCATCTGTTTCAGTGTACACAGTTTGTCGTTGTGCTCTAAAACAGAATTACTCCAGGGGTAAAGAATAATACCCGGAACTGAACAATAGTTGGAAACCTATCAGGTAATAATTTGTAGAGTGAATGTTTGAGGGAAAAGTCAACAGGTTTGGAGTCACAGAGAAAACTGTCATTAGACTATATAATTTACCAAGTCTGCTCCATCTCTGATTTGTGCTGCACAGGGCAATAAAACTTCATTATAGCATAAAGGTGAGAATGTAGGTACCTTTGAAAGATGGAATTATTTTTTGAGTTCTCATTAGAAAAAAAAAAAAAAGAAGAAAAAAGAGTAACTAAAATTATTAAATGGCTTATCAAAATATTTAAGGTTCTCTGTTCTTTCTTTGACATCTTACATATAGTAGTAGAATATTTTCATTAAAACAGAAGACAATTTTATCTGTTATCCCAGAGAACGCAAAGAATCAAGAAATATCTCACGGAACTTGATCAGATATTTTTACCATATCAGGTAAGAAAGAAAATATTGCTCAGCAACAATGACCTATGCATTAAGTCTTCTGAAAAGACTTTGCTCTCTATACTTAATAACATTATTGCTTTAGATAAACTTTAAATAAAACCTTAAAAACTCCATGCAAGTTTCATTATTATTGTTATCACTGTCTGTCTGGCAAGGACATCATTCCAAGAAGCACAGAATATTTTTCTGCCATTTACTTAATTCTCCATCTACTTTGGCATCTATTGCTTAGGCTAAAATATTACCTAATAATGTGCACGATCATGTTCTTGACTTTTCCCTCTCCTTACTCTTTTCCTTACGTATGAGAAACATTGCCACTTCCAAGGAGAGATTTCTGGGACAGCATACAGATGTAATTTGAAAGAAAATATCTTATATATTTGGAGGCATCTGATAAAGCAAATACAAGTACACAGAATTCCAGCAACTGTAAGTCAGGGAGACAACAGCACCATGGGAATCATTCTTAAAAGCTGCAGTTTTATTTCACTAAATTATCTATGTTAAAACAAATCTGTGCCTGGTGTGGAATTTCACTGCATCAAGTGTTACAATATTTTTTGTTTTCATTACAAGCAGGAGATTGCATGTAGAACAAGTGTTAAGAAACATGACAATAAATTAGAATATAATTTACAAAAGCAAAAAATAATAATAAAGTAACAGTGTACCACATTAATACTGAGTATAAAATAATAAGCAACTAATCACAATAATACAAAGGTAATTTCAGTCTGTATTATTAAGGATATCTATGTGACATTCACTCCATTATAAAGTTCCTAACGAAATGGACTATTTTGGGGTGTATATACCTTGAGGGGTTAATCTGTAGATTTTTCTTTCCATTTTCGTATTCTTTAGCTGGTAGTAATGCTCAGTGGAAGTACTGGCATCAGATTGATCTGTGTGTTTAGTATTACACTATTTGATTCTAGGCCTGACATTTTTACAGCCTACACAAATAGTCCTACTGTCGCTATTCAGGAATATAACACTATTTAGCTTAGATTATATAGATGGCTACAGTGTAGCAGCAGCAATGAACTGTGCTGTGGAAACCAATTATTTTTCTTTGAATTAGGTTTCGTGTTTAGGTCTTAGTATGAAGTGTTGCTTAGTTTGTAAATCCAAATACATTCTGTGTTTTGTTCCCTTTAACAATACAATTCAATGTTGCTCCAGGGAGTTCTTTAAATTCCAACCTCAGTGCTGTTACATTTCAGAGTAAACATCAGACTCCCTAGTGTTCTAGCACCAGTAAAGAGAGCAAAATGTGTCTTTGGAAATACTCCTTACAATTTTAATGTCCTAAATGAGGTAAAAAAAAGGTTTCTTTTGAATACATTAAAAAAAAAAAAAAAACAACAACTTTTCCTTGTTAGCTGAAAAGACACGTTAGCTGATAAACACAATTGTGCCCTGGAGAAAAACAGACCCTGATATAAAGAGGCCTCTTGCTTAGAGAATGCCATAGCAACCCCTTTCCCTTTTATTGGATTTTTGACCTAACCAGGGCATGCTAGCACCAAGATGTTTTGTCAAAAGGATATCAAAAGGTGATTCGCTTAACAGAGAAGGACTAATACTGCCATTTAATACATATGCACAACTCCCAAAGATGTTTTTTTTCTGGTGTCTGTTCTAAGAGGAGTTGAGTACATGGTGATGAGATCAGCAGAGAAGCATACACCAACACATGCAGGCCAACCAAAAATGAATTCCACCGGTCACAGGTGTAAGCAGGTGAAAATACTGGCAAGAGGTAGCAGATGACTGGGATCTGATGATCACGAATATGTGGGCTATGCAAAATCCCACATACAGATGGTCGATATGTCAGGGGGCAAGGGGGTGTCATTGTACAGGTCCTGTTAAAAATATCCATTTTTCCATGTTAATTCACATTTGTAAAGAGTGTGCAACATATCTGGCTTGTTATTGGTTAAATACATTGATACACTTCAATCCCACATGATTTTTTGATCTTTTTTCACCGAAAAGTACTTTTTTTTTTAAAGAAAGTGCTATGTGAGCTAGAATTTTTAACATGTTACTGTTCACACAATTTTAATTGCACTACAATGAAGGAGGCATCATTGGACACAAAAGCACATTCATCAAGTACCTGCTGCAAACTGCAAGTGTTCAAGTACAATATATTAATATTAACAAGTACCCACTTTCCTTATCTCCTTTTGAGTCAGTTATTGAGAAGTGAAGGGGAAGAGGAGCATGACATTTACTTTTTTTATGCTAGCTTCTTGAAATGTGACCTGCCTAAGCAGTTTGGTTTCACATTTAAATGCAAAGTATTTGGTGAATATAGGAAATACGGTAAGAAGTGGAGTATGGCAGTAGAGCAATTGTGGCATCTAACTATAAATCTAGAGGCATGAATTTGCTCCAGCTTCAGGCTGAAAGCTGCCCCTAGCTTTAAATAAGATCCAGCTTTATATATAGGACCATACCTCGCTCCAGCCACACCTATTCCAGTGTGCCTTACATAGGCCTCTTGGGTCAGGCACACTTTGGACCTTTTACTTGACAGGTTCTAGATATCTCCCCAAGTCCTTTATTCTTTGGTTGCAATCCTTACCCACTCTGCTGGGGTCTCCTGAACTGCACATTCACATATTTGTTCTCATAAACAAAGCCCTTCAACTACAGTATCAAAGAAGGGGACCTGAAATCCATTATAACTCTTGGCCAATTTTGCAAAGGGATGTTGCTATTAGACAGTAGGCTTATCTTTCGCACTGGAAGTCCTGGGTGTCAAAAGTAACATGTAAAACAGAACTGGAGGCCCACGAAGCTGCTGCTTCTTTGTGGCCAGTGATGTAAACAAAAGTGAGCTGGAGTCAAGGTGTTAAGTTTTAGGCAACCTGTACCTGGTAGCGAAAGACTTGACAACACGGTTTTCACCACTACTGGAGTCTGCCTCCTCTGTGATATTGAAATATTTTCCCTTTTAGTGGAAATCTCAGCTTCATTTGTACAATGGTAAGATGGCTATAAACCTGCAACACAGATTTCATTTCACTTCATAGCACACTTGTATTTCATGCACCACTGCAATAACTGTTGCACCTCTTAAAACTAAGTCCCTCATGGTTGTTCTATTTAGTATAGCTTTATATATGGCTCACAGCAGTGTTCAGGAAATATGGATTACTCCAAAGGGAATTAAGTGGAATGAAGGAAAAATACATTTTTTTTTTAAATTTCTGCTCCTTAAATAACATTTCCAAGCTCATTTTATAATTTAAATTGTGGTGCTATGTTGTAAGATAAAATAGTTAACATTTTAAAGCTATGACTTAACAGTTTTTTGATTCTTCTTTACTTCCATAGTAGACCAAGTCATAACAGCTACATTTTAAACAGTTTTAAATACAAATGGATTCAGTGTCATTGCTAAGTCCATAATAAAAATTATTTTAATGGTCCAAGGAGGTAAACAGACTATTGAATTTAGTCAAAAGAACACAAATGTTCCACAGTAAGCTATTCTATATGTGTTGTGTGGATCTTTCCAATTTGGCATGCCCTCCTCATACCGTGTCCAGCACTTTGGATGAATAAATCCCACTTCACAGAAGTTAAAATAATATTGAAATCCTGTCAGCTGGGGCTGACCAGTGGTTACGTTTTCCACAGGGTAATGCGTTTGCAAGGACGTCAATCTCATTCCGCTGTGTGGCTCTCCTCGATGGACACTTTTCCACAACGATAATAACAAGGCACATTCTCATGCTTTCTGTGGGTCAGTGTCCTTGGCAGGTCTTGCAGCACATCTGTCTGAAATATGCTCGACTGCAGAACTTGAACTTCAGCACCAGTGGGCAATATGCCACTTTGTTCACATCTTTGCACTCTAATTATTGAGGGCATTAAAGAGAGAGAGAGAGAGAAAGAGAGAGAGAGAGAGAGAGAGAGAGAGAGAGAGAGAGAGAGAGAGAGAGAGAGAGAGAGAGAAGCAGAAATACAAATTAAAGTACAAAGCAAATTGGTACAAAGCAAATTGAGAGTTATCATGCTTCTGCTCTTTCTGTCCACCTTGTCCTCTTGGTAACTACTCTTTCTAGTCCAACTTAGTACATACAATACATTTAAAAAAGCAATAAAAATGTTTGCAGAGCTTCTCTCCCAGACATTTAGAAGTGTGCCCACTTTGTCTTGAAAGAATTACCATTTATTGGGATAAACGATCACTATAGACAGCTAGGAAATATGAGTCATTTTTCTTTTAATATTTTTATAGCTTCTTTCTCAGGAGTTATTTTATTCATCCATGAGAGGTTATCCAAAATCTAACACGATTCACACTATTTGGTACGATGCCCGTGCATTTGTAAGAATTCTTGAAACAGAATATACATTGCAGCTCACAGGGTTGGAGAAAACAAAGAGTTATGAGTAAACAGCATGAGGTCAGGGCCTCGACTGCATGACCAGTTTTACTTCAGGCTTGGTTCTACACATCAACACTTTCTTTAATGCAAGAGAAAAATAATTTTTGTACCTGCAATAGTTGTGTAAGGGCTTTCCTTCATGCTTTCCTTTTTGCTATATACTGGGCTTACTGCATATAGGCAGGTAAGTCTCCCAGGAATGGAGAACAAAAACTCTGCCACATGGAGTAAGGATTCCTTCTTTTCCATCCCTACAACTTTTAGGTTGTATCTACAGTAGCTTGTGGGGCAACACTGCTGGAGTATGCTGTGATTCTCACCTGGCTCTGTCTCCTTTCTGAAGGAACAAGGTGGGAATAGGGAATAGATTAGTTTGGTCCCTGCCCAATTTTTGTTCTGACATAGTTGGAATTCACAGGTGAATGTGAGAGTTGGGCAGTATGAGAACTCAGGTTTTCCAGCTCAGATGTAGCTACTGTGGATTTACTTTGCACTGGAGTGGCTATTCTGGTAAGTGCTTGATAGGGGATTTACATTTTCAGGAGAGGCATTTGGATATTTTCTTCCAGGCTGATAATAAAATAGGACTTTGGCAAGGAGCTTTGCTTCATATGTAGTAAGATGGAAGAAATATATTTGGAGAAAAAGCAAAACCCACAAATTTGAATTGCAAAAAATGATGAGGTGGGAAGAATGAAATCGGATTAATTTTCCAGAAATTATTTTTTTTCTCAAAAGAATGCTTTCATTTTTCAGTCTTATAAGATTGCATTCAACACTGGTGCCCTCCCACAATTCCTCTCAAATACAACAGTTATAAGGAAAATATGAATAAAAAGGAGAGGAACCAGCAGTATTTTGAGCATTATCACATTTGCATTGATCTAATATCTAGAAATGAAGACGACTGAAAGCCAGGATCCTGTTGCTCCAAGACATGATAGATCAACAGTCCTTAATTCCATGATATCTGTATGCCAAATATCAAAGAGATCGCAAACCGATATACCAAACAACCACAATTAGCAAGCACAATCTTTTAGCTGTTCCTTGCCATCTTCTTTCTACTTACAGTCTCCCAGGGCACTATTTTTCCTCCAGGACATGCAGTTATGGATAGTGAGCACATAGTATGAGCATAGTGTGGCATCAAGTTATGTGCAGATGAGAATGTTTTATATCCAACCCTAGGAAAGCATTAGTGGGACCCTGAATCCTAAGGTCTATACTGAGTGGTATTTCTGATAATGGCACTGTGCATGTCTTCAGATGGATGAGTAGAGGTGTTATAACTTTCATTTCATTAACAAAAATAAGATTTTTTCACAGATTTTTTTAATCCATCTACCAAACATTTTTATTCATTTATTTCCTATTTTGTTATTCTTAAATTGCAATCAGAAGTCAGTAAAAAGGCCTGAAGAAAGACCTATTGGTGCAGTGAATTGAAACACATATATTTCTCTGAAAGCAACTGCATAAGATCCCTATTTTAATTCAAGCAGGTCAAGACATCTTCCAAAAATATTTTAAGTCTTTGTGTTTATGAGGTCTGAGAACATGGAAAAGCCTGGGGTAAATTATAAATGACACGAAGAATAAAAAGATTCACTTAATCTTGATCGAGATCGCTCAGTTCTCAGAACAAACCTCACATACATTGTCTTTAGCTAAATACAGGTAAAACCACTAACTGGAATTTTAGTAAAAGTAGGATTTGAAATCATCTCCACTTTCTTTTATTTACCTTGTTCTTCCTATTGATTAAAATTGGACCCTGCTCAGTCAATGCCATTAGGATAGCAGGGAGATGGGAGTGCTCTGGAAGTTGCCCATAACTTCTGTTTTAAAAATCAGTTTTGAAAGAGATATGGTGACTTCTATGGTGAATAGCCTATTCTTCCTAGGGCTCTCGCTGAATGGGAGAGGGTTAGAAGAACTGCTCTTACTCACAGTAGCTACTGTTAATAAGTTTCAATAAACTACATGAATTAACCTCTCATTGTCTGAACTCTGTGGCCAGATCAAAGTATTCCATGATATTACATATCATATTACAGTAATAAAATCACAGAATGTCACTGTGCTTTCGGCTAAAGAGACTGCCGCAAGAAAAACTGAAGTGACATAGAAATAGATAGAACAGTGTTTCAGGTGAAGTTTCAGGTGACCTTCAGCAGTATAGATTTAAAGAATAAAATCACTCGAATATATCAATTCCCAAGGTACATGCTGTCCACAGTTCACTCCAACAGCAAATGAAATGTTACCCTCATCAGTGGAAGCCTGTGAAAACCTCATCTACAATACTCCAGCTCTCAGTAAGGCAAAATGAAGTTTTCTGTTTCACAGAAAACAAAGAGCTAAAACAGATGTTAAATGTGACAAGATTTATCATAAGTTTTTTTTACTACTTCTGAATGCCCACAAGTTTGACTTTGCCATTTCATGCAGACAAGCTACACTTTCCCCAAGAGAGCATTTGAGCTCTACCAGTTGTGGAGTAGCTCAAGGTTTCTCAAGAAAATATACATTCTTATTGCGGATCAACAAAATTAAATTCTCCAGAAATTCCTGAATGTTTCCCATAGGCATTAGGTTGGGAAAACTGGAGTTTGGAGAATGAAGGGAATTAGGAGGCTTGCTGGGATTTGGAGCTGGAAGGGAAACCTCGCTGCTAGTGGGACCTTGGTGCAGGCCCCCAGCCTGCTGCTGCCTTATGTCACTGCCCATGTGGATGAGAGAGATGCAGAAGCATCTCATGACAGAGAGGGGCACAGAAACACAAAATATGGACACACAGAGGGCCAGACCATAGATTTTGCTTTAGCACTGTGTGCCCTGTATCCTGCAGCCAGCCAGTCCTTACTAGATACGTTTCGTAGCACAAACACTGCTCAGCACTGTGGTGCAGAAGGGAGGGCTTCTGCATCCTGCATTGGTAACTCACATGGCCAGAAAGAGGCAGTGAGAGAGAAAAGATGGAAAGGAACAGGCTCAGGCATGACTGCTGCTCAGCAGAATGTTTGCTGAGTGCAAAGCCCAACAGCAACTGAACAGGGAAAATTCTTATATCAAGGGGTCTTGGCTCATGTAGCCAAAACACAGAAAGTCCCTGCTGAGCCTAGGCTCATTTTCACTCTCCCTGCTCCGTCCACTAGCTGCAGCAGCTGTTAGCTGGTTTCTAGACCCATCCCTAGGCCAGGCTGCCAAATACAAGTGCCTGATATAGCAGAATTATCAGCTGCATTTGCAGGTATGTAACAAAAATATACTCAAAACTCAAACATTTCTTCAGTAGGGACAAATCATCACTTTAAATGGAGGGAGAGAAAAAAAGAAAAAGAGACAGAGAACTGGAATTACTGAAATTGTCCAAGCAACTGCCTGTGCTTTGGGATAAGTGGCTGATCTTTCCAAAAAGAACGTATTTTTACATTACAAAGACCTGAGATTGGTTGGGCTCTTTAGGATTAGTTAGTTTGTGAAATCTAAAAATCTTTCAACCACCTCTAGTATACGGTGAAAAGTATGTGACCCTATTTCACTAAGATTTCACTAACATTTCACTAAGACAGTTTTGTCAGGAAGACTCCAAGGATGAAGTTATTTGACCCACTGTTTTAAAAGATGACAGCTCCTATCGTGTCTAAAGGATTTTTTTTTAAGACCAAAAATGTAAGCATAAGATGTGCAATATACGCACATTAATTTGCATACACTTACAGTCTGTACTTCTTATATTGTGTTTAATAGTAGTTATGAAGATATATATTTAATATATATTTGCAAAAACATTTAAAAAGTGCAATTCAAAGACAAAATTTTTATCTGATTTTGGATGAGAGCATTTGCAATATTTCATGACTGGGGCCAGGCACTTCTCAGCAGATACATGTAATTTAAAATGTTAAATTAACTTGGAGAATACATTTATTTGTAAGCCATGCCTAACAGCTTACGAATATTCAGTGGTTTCCAGTAAGTACCTTCAATGCTGGACAAAAGCAAATTGTGGTGCTAAGAAGCAATGTGACTGCTGGGAACTGTATTTATTAGAAGAGATTGTACTATCTCTTTTTCCTCTTATTTTTTTCCTACGACTTATTAGCTCGGGCAATGTACTGTGCTAATGAGATCGCGTGGCTGTCAGTAAGAAGCTGGCTTGTGCCTGGCCAACTCAGAGTGCAGGCCAAAGAGCTGAAGTCCATCTGGAATATCGTGCAAGTAAGTGGTTTTCAACATTTTCAATTTGTGGATCCCAAAAAATTTCCAGTGAAGGTTTAGGGCCCTGGAAAAGCCTAATGCCAACAAGCTTGCTTTTCATAGTTGTGCAGTTCAGTTCCACTTTATAGTGGTCCATGACCACCCAGTGTCCATTGATCACACATAGAAAAACCCTGATGGCATCCACATCTGTAGGAGATCATCATATTTTCCTGATAATATTAAAGAATTACTAGTGTAATGGCTATAAATAATGACTCGATCTTTTTTTCTTGAAATTAAAAGGAGACTGAGACTAAACTGTGCCCACTTAAAGTACTTTATTACCTTACTTTCTTTGGAAAGACAACATCTGTGTTTGGAAGTAAAGTAAGACTTAGCCTTGGAGCTTTAAAGGGCAGAAAAAATTCCTACACTGATAATCATCACCTAAAGATTACTTAACAGCTCTAACATAAAAATGAGAATTAAAATATCTAAGGAAAATTCTATTAGAAGGATACTTTTCAAATGACAACATGGGATAATAAGTGTCTTTCTAAAATTGAAACTTCCAAGCAATAAAATACAGTTTTTATGGAGAATCACTAGTGTATTTCTCGGAAGATTTTAGCAGGCTCCATTTCATTATAGACATCTCCATCTGACATACTTTCATAACAACTTTGAATCTATGCTATGGACTGAAATGTAGAAAGAAAGTACGAAAAGAACATCAAATTAGGGGAAACTGTAGCCTAAATTTGCCTTTTCTGTGTATAGGGAGCATTTGTTCCATAGAAATAGGTTATTAAAATTGAAAGTGGTTGGAGAATCCATGTAAAAAATACCATATATTATAGTAAGAAAAGTTATGTCAAATATGCCTTTGGGATGTCTATGCCTTTAAAGAAGGCTGCATTATTCACTTTGACTTTGAACTACCATAATTGATTAGAAAATAATAGCAAAAGAAAAAAATCACAGTCTGGGAGATGATATAATATACGTTTTTGTTAAGAAATGTATGTCTTTTTAATAAGCACATGCAATAACACTCTTTTCTTTTTCCAGAATAAATTATATTAGGATGGCAAACTTACCTTCCGTGTTGGAAATGGGAGTACTGTCACATTTGCTTTCACACTGTTGCATTGATGGAGGTCTGAGTGTTTCTGGACACTCACTGGATGCTTGTCCGGTGTACGAGAGGCACTGTACTGTTCGCATCTGCTGCCCAAGGCCACACTGTGCAGAACACTAAAGATAAGACAGATAAAGTGAAGCAACTTGGATCCAATTCTTAAACACAAAGCAAGATAACAGGAGAACAAAACAGAACCAAAAAAAAAAAAAAAACCCAAAAAACAAACAAAAAAAAGGAAATTAGGATCCTTGATTAAACATAGGTATTTTTTCTATAAAACAGTTTAGAATTCTTCATTTTTCGAAGTATATAAAGGACTTGTCTTTCCAAAAAACCAAAACACAATGCAACTGCCTGAATGAGCTCAGATTTAAAGTATGAGAAGTTAATTTACTCTATTTCATGTAAAATCTCTACCTTTCAAGAGGGAAATCTTAGTTTTGAGCAAAGAAAAAAAATCAAAGGCAAGGAGAATTGAAATAGGCTAGGAAAGTAGTTTTCAAAAAACAATATTTTGCAATTTCAAAAAGAATTATTTTTATAACTAACCAATGATTTAGGCACTTGTATCAATTTAGGATAAATATGCATTCAAACAACTAGCATAAAAGATTGACTGCATTTCAATTACACTGTAATATCACAGATCATTTTCCTGTGATTAGTTAAGCTAAAGTATTTCCATTACTGGTAAATTACTCATAAAACTTAGAAACTGAAATATCAAGACACTAATCATACTTCAGATGTTAAATCATAATGATAGAGGAAAAAAACAGTATAAGTTTTACAGAAACATTGTATATAACACTGTTCAGCCTGTGCTGTGACAATTTAGAACCTGATTTGGTAATTAAGCATATTTTACGTAAAATTTTATAATTTTCTGAATGTTCTTAGAGCTGCTGTGTACCTTTTTGTACATTTACTAAGACAGTATCAGCTTTATATTACCATCATGCTTCTCAGATGAGTTCAATGTGTTTTAAATATATTAAATCTTCCAACGTTACTGCCTCACAACATCTCCTTCCACAAAACTGTAATAAGCATTAATTACTGTAAAAATAATGCATATGAAAACTCATCCTATAGAAACCAGTTTACTCTCAGCAAATCCTGTTTGATAGCTCAGCAGACAACCACCATTCTACCTCTCATTTCAATCTTCGGCAAACAAGGGAAAAACAAGAAGACTCAGATTCACAGATTCACAGAATATTTAAGGTTGGAAGGGACCTCTACAGATCATCTAGTCCAACCTTCCTGCTCAAGCAGGGACTCAAAGAAATGTCTCTTCTTGGTTTCCATTAAACCTTTATCCATAAAAGGTGCTGCTGTGTAGGAGACTAACAGTAAGTGTTGCTGGTAATAATAATATTATAGTAATATAATGCTCACATGGACTACCTTACCTGTCCCCAGTCTCCAGTAACCCAGCGAGGAGGAGGACACCGGCCTAAACTGCAGCGGATGCGGACTGGAGGTTTGCTTTCCTCTTGGCACTGAGCAGCTGGGAAAGTTTTTAAAAGATCGCTGCTTTTGCAGAGAACAATTCGGTGCTTAAATCCGGGGCCACACTTTGGTGTGCACTGAAAATATATGGATACAAATAATGAAAAGGCCAAGTCAGTAGACGTACCCAAGATACTGTTAGGAAACTACATGAGATTACATAAATATTCTTATAACTAAATTATAATCACCTTTTCCCCAAAATGATAATTTTCAAATGCTTAGAAACTCAAATAACCTACTAGACAACTGCTGTAAGTTAAATAAGTCTTAATTTGATAAACGTTTTCCTCTGCTCTTTGTATTTTTGCTATCGTATTACTATTTGCTTTTTTAACATAAAAGCTTTTAGGATAGGTTTAAGAAAAACACTTTGCACATTATCAGAATTCCTCACCGCGTGATCATCTTTGTCCTGCAAGCATAACTGCACCATCTGCATCAGAATCAACTTCTGATAGCGTAAATCCTATACAAGGATTATTCTAAAACTTTCAAGAGTGGAACTGTCTTTCATATGCAAGCAGCCTCAGAGACACAGTATTATCTGAGAAGTGGAAATGAAGCAAAATTCAAGATGTGGAATGTCGAAGACATTCCACATTCAAATAGGTCAGCACATAATAAGGAAAAAATATATATATATCTAAGATTCATTTTTGGAAAATGACTTCAGTAATCCAAACTTCAGAATTGTATGCCTATTTCTATTCTATTCTATTGTATGCAATAGAATAGACAATTCTAAATTAAAGACAATTTAAAGCAGTTTCATAGTACAGTGTAAAATATTGATACTCCTGGAACATACATCAATGTGCATGTATATACTTCTTCACCTCAAAATAAGATTCATGAGAAGAAAAACTCTTAGTGGGAGTCACCTAAACTAGTCAATGAAGATCTGACAGGTTTATGCTCCATCTCATCTCTGCCTTGTATCTTTAAGTGGACTGCCTTGTATCTTTAAGCGGACTGCAAAAGAGGAGTGATCTCCATTTAGAGTTTATAATTGTGAACTTCCAAATCTATCAATCAATCAAACCTGATTTTTTGAGCAAAAAGTAGAAGCAGATTCCCCTACCTAGATGAGTGCTTAAAAATCACATGTACTAAATCTCCTGTTGGCATTTAATCTTTTAAGCATTCTGTGAAAAGCAAACAGACAATATGCAGGCAGTTGGGCAGACTGTCCTGCTGTCATCAGAGTGGTCTACAGATTGATGATCGGTTCACTTTGTAAAACTGGAGGAGGTAGAGGCTAGCATCTCCTTAGAGGTACAAAGAATTATATTCTGAACCCTGGAAAGTTAACGTTAAGGTGCAAAAGAAAAAGCTATCAGCTGATGACCCTTACTTAAATCCAACCAGTGGCTACAGCTATATCTCACATGGAGCTCAGCCACTAGGTACGCTCCAAGGGTGTCTTATGTCCTCTCCAACATGCCTTCTAAGTTGAGGCCCTCAGAGCAGGTATGTGTGGGACTGTCTACTGTGTGATTCATTTGCTTCCAGCAAGTGGTTGCCTCTCACCTTTTCTTCTGTGTCAAGGCAAGCAAGAAGCTGAACTGCTGATAATCAGTGAAATAAATGTCAAAAGACAATGCGCCTAAGGAGTGTCATAACCTGTAGAATTTGTAAGCAAATCAGAAACTGCCTAATTTATTGTATAGACACTATTTTTTGTTAGTACTGAGAAAATGTCTAGATTTTCCACTCAGAAATCAGGGACAACTATAAAGGACAAAAAGAGCTTACAAACTGTCAAGTGTCCTGGTAGATACTGATGTAAGAGTCTTTCACTGAACAGTCTTTTTCCACTCATCCATTATTTCCTTCTTGCTCCTTTTCTTTTTACTCTTTCCAAGCCACAGATTCATTTTTGAAGATCTGAAAAAGCCTTTATCTTTTCAGGGAGGGGCAGGGACTATCTTAAAACCTTTCTGCCTTGATTTTGATGCTCTACTTCTGGTGTAAAAAAGGCAGTTAGTAACTAGGGGCAAAATGTTGCTGAAAGCAGCCACGTTTCTATGGGTTCAGTATATAAAGCAGCCAATTTTTGTAAAAAGATTTTAAAAAAGATCTGTTATCCTAAAACCGTACAGAATTAGAGATATTTAGCTATAAAGTTTGCGAATGACTGTCTTATCATATCAGATTATTTCTAAAACATGGTACATTACCAAGAAATTCAGAAAACAAGCAACAGTATTAGCATGGTAAGTTAACGAAATTTTTTTTCAGATGTTTCCATTATATTTTACTATTTACTTTACTATTTTATTTACTATTATGCATTTATAAGTGCATCTTTACTGTTTTTACCACTTCAACTATTCTATATTACAATCAATATCAATCTTAACTTCTTAATCTTAACATAATTGACAAAATATGTGAAAAGAAAAAAAAAGAAATATGATGACAAAAATTGCTTCAATACTGTAATTAAATTGTGTTCCGAATTCCTCATTAACTTGGCAAGCAGCAGTAGAAAACATCCAGTGGCTAGAGCTCTTGCTTTGACTATTGCCAATGAGCTAAGATTGCAAATTTCCTTACTTCTGACCAGTCCAAAGCGACCCACTGTGGGGGACAGGACTGGTTATTACAGGGCTCTTTTTCAACAGGCCGGTGTGTTAAACAGTTAGTATTTTCCAGTGTCTCCTCCTCAGAAGGTCCAATCTTTCTGATGCAGAGAACTGTTCGTGAACGCATTCCACCATCACAGGTCTTACTACATTCTGACCAATCTCCTATAAACCATCTGGATAGAAAAAGTTGGGAAACTCAGTTAATATATTTCAGAAATGGAAAGGATAATTACACAACCTCAGAAATCAAATAGTTTAGATTACTAAATATGAATCAATCTTAACAATACAGTTAAACCATTGTGAAATAAGTAAGAACCTTATGGACCATCCCAGTGATACATTTTGATTCATGTTTTACTGCAGTAATATTTCCCAATAAAAAAAGTACTTTGTAATTTTCATAGCAACTCTTTCCAACCTAGGCTGTAGTAGCTAAGTGTTGAGCCTGAAAAACAAACAAACAACAAAAAAACCTTCAATCACTTAGGTGGATTTGCATCGTAGTTACATGAAATTTTCCATCTGAAAGTGGTTTTCAACTGCTGGAAATATTTGGGAAATACTGCAATAGATCAAAGCACAGTTTAAATGCAGAGATGCATTTAAAAGCATTGCAGTGAGTGCTCTCTACACTCGCAGTTTGTTCTGCAAATGGGGCTTTCCAGGATTTTTGTCCAATTATGACAAACCATTATATATTTTTTTTTACTATATAGAAACGCAAACCATTCTTATGCCTTAGAGTGAGAAATGTAAACACTAGTAAAACATAATTCATCATACAAAATGACCTCACAATTATTTTTAAAGATTTAAATCACTGCATGATAGCTTGAGGGAACTTCCAAATGTTTGTACATAAATGTTACAAGTCAAGAGATGTGCACTATATTTAGATTACTCGAGTGTTGCAGAGGAGATTAACAGCTGTTAATCTGGCTGTAAAGTTTAAATTTTGCTTTTTAATGGATGAAAGGTTAATGCAATTCTATTCAGTGGAAATATATCTTCAAATATGTTTATAATCATGTTTATATTGATATCATATGTTACAGTAATTGCTTACTTAGTTTTAAATGGCTACATAGGCAAGAAGGAAAAAGTGGCCACAAAAGCAAGCATGGAGGAAAGTGCTCAATAAAGGACAGGGAGTGCAGCAATGGTAGGAAGCTACCTGGAGTGATACACTGTCTCCTGATCCAGAAGCCTTGAATTAGCCTCATTTAATAAAAAAAAGAATAATAATAATAAAAAAGAGAGAGAAAAAAAAAAAGGAGAGAATATTCCACCATGATTTTCATCATGCTTTTGTCTGTTGCCTCCCTCTTTGGGAGATACAGCATTTTCATTAGATTGCTACCCTAGCCAGATATTCCAGAGCTAGTTACACTACAAGTTGTTAAACACTTAAGTGAAAGCTACCTTCAAGCGTAATGAAGTGGCATCTCATAACTGGAACTATGTTCTGTGAAAGCACATAAAGAATCTAACTCCTTCCTTCCTGTATACAATCTTCTCTTACCTACCATCTTGAATATAGACTACGCAATTCCCAGATACACATATGACGATGCTACAGAAAACTGGTACTTTTGGTAACATCCAACAAGTCTGTCCACAGCAAAATTCTTACCTTCTACTCTTTTGCCTTACAGTAGGGGAAATATAGCAGGATTCACTGTTTCAACTTGTATGTGGCTTCTGATTGCATTAAATATAACTGATTTTATATTTATTTAGAATTAGTTTTATTTTTACCACATTATTTTGGAGACATTTAAAAGTATGTTTTTGCTTTAATGACTGTGTTTTAAATAAAAAGAATTAACTCTGAAATACAAGAAAATTAAACTTTGTAGCAGTCAGGTATAATAAAGGCAACTGTGATGGCACTGGGAAAGTCAACACCAAGTTAAAAGGTTCTGCCAGAAAAAGATGAGCAAAACCACCAGTATAACCCACTGACTAGAGTGGACAAAGCTAATTTGTGGAACTGTGACAATAGTGTTTCCTGGCTCAGGGTCAGGAAAACAGAACTTCATGCATAGTTTTGCCGCCCTGACATTTGCTTTGCTAGCTGTACTAAAACTTACCTAATAGTTTGGACTCCCAAGCAAGAAGATATGCTAGTGAGAGGAGGGGAAGGGGAGGAATTTCTCCTCAAGGCTGATCAGTGACACTCATGCACATTTTACCCTGAATGCAGATGGGATTTTTAAGTACAAGGCACATTTGGTTTCACATTCAGTATTGAATAAGCTGAATAGATACACTGCCTTAAATCAACCTTGCACAGTTTTAAGCTGAAGCCTGTCATGCTATCTCATGCTGCCAGAAACTGTCAGGTGTGAGATGTTCATAGTGGCTGTTGCATCATCGTGAGGTGAGCTTGGGACTTGCCCAAGATCGGTCATTTTTGGAAATTTCTGTCAAAGGAAAAGTACTGCTACGCTTTTGTGCATTACAGAATGTATCCTGCTGTAGTAGGAACATGGAGCAATCCTTTAATTTTTCTCTGCTAATTTTGAGTCCAGTGAGGCAGACAGATTCCAAATTTGTTGTATTATCCTCATTAGTTTGATTGATGATTATTTGCCAACAAACTTAAGCTTTTGAGAGGAGAGTAAGAATTGAGTGTTAAGATAGTACCATGACTAATTTGCTCAATCTTCTCCACAGTATCTTCTGTGTCTCTATGGTATCACAATACAATATTACGCCCCTTTTCAGGTTCAGGGACCTAAAGTATAATGCTACTGGCATTCAGTTAGAAGAAGAAGAAATACAAGACTTTTGAGAAATAGGATTTTTGGTAACTACCACAGGGAGATCACAACTGTGTTAATTAAGGAAAGGAAGTTTTTGGTCACTCTGTCTAAAGAGAAAGCCTCACTGGCTGACTGATAAATCTAACACTGATATCTATCCTGGTTCAATATTAATGACTTTAGTGTCATTAGTAACATTGAGGTAGTGAATAGCAAACTTTCACTGACTAGTGAATCAATAAATTATTACTATCTCTCTCAACATTTTTTGAAAAGTTTTAACTATTTCAAAGCACAAGAAAGAGCACATGTGATGAAATTATTTTCCAGTACAAAATATCACAGCTGCTTCTAAACAGTTTGTAGTGAGATTAAGCTGTGGGATATGTCCTTTCCAAATTTTATTTTTGAACAAATGAACTGCTGTGTTTCTCATTATTTCTTCAATATATAACACACAACTATCTTTAAAACTAAAAGCAAAAAGGCTTAATCAATCCTAAAGGCACAGAGCACTGTGGTACAGCACTAAGCACCTGGAAGAGAAAGTTGCTTGAGGAAAATACTTTCAGTAGATGCTTTGGCCTACTAAGTAGTTCCTGTGTTTGCTATTTCCCATTTGAAAACTTCAACGCAAATTTTAATGTAACATATTTTAAAAATATGGTAGACTTTTAGTATGTTATGTAACCATATATTGGAATGGGCATGTATGTAGTCTCCGCTCACCTCAAGACTCTTCTGTCATTAGTGCCTTGTAAGTGGCCTCCAGGTCTGTTCACCATCCCCTGACACTCCCATCTGACCAACTTTTTACTTACAGTGACAATACAGTGAGGTAATCCTGCTCCTCAATCACATCAGACTCCTTCCATGTCACAACTGATCTACAGCTAATTCCAGAGGAACAAGCAACCACAACCAATCCCTCCAGAATATCCCATCTAGTAAGACAGAGTCCTAATGCTAAACAAAATATTTATGCCGTATTAGCTCAACAGTTTCTGTTAATGTATTATAGAAATATTTCTATCTGTATAAAATAGATACCTATCTTAGTAATTATTAACTTACTCAGGTGGACAAGGCTCAGTGTTGCAGGCTCTTTGGTTTTCTGGAGGTTTACTGTCGGGATCACAGTAATTGTTCTGCACAACGGAGTTGTCATCCAGCCTTTTACACACCACCTCTTGTTTCTGCACACCTTGGGATGAAATTAAACACCACTAATTAGTAATTCTTACTCTTATACTTACTGTCTGAAAGTATATTTCACCAATTGAATATTAATTCTACTATTCAACTTTAACTGGTATCTCAATTGCCTGAACTAACTGAATGCCTGTGCCCTCTGACCACACAAATTTTTTCATTTTCCTTCAATTTTAGACCACCCCACTGAGAAAGGATTTTAGATTGCTCTTGTTTCCGAAAACAAAGGGAATATATTTATAGATTTACTAACAGATTGTTTTTATTTGTATATTGCACAAAATCCATTTTCCGCCTACCCTTCTGAATAAAAGACACTCATTCCACTTTCCAAAGAAAATAATCGCCAGACAAAATGTGGCCAAATTTCAATGCAGAATCTCTGTTTATGTGCTCTGGTATAAAATAAAACAGCAACACTGGGATTCAGTTTCGCATTTTTGTACATGTCATTCTATAAGCATTTTCTTCATTAAAATAATGGAAGCATTATTCTGAAAGATGCATCTTTTCTCTGTGGATCCTCATTACGTTTGGCACAGATATGTCCTAGCTCCTCTTCCATTATTTAACCATCAGCAGGCAGTTTCAGAAACGATTATAATTCCCCAAACACAGTGAAAAATCACAGCCATGACCATATTTAAAGGTAACACTTCAAGCAGATTTTTCCAATTTCAAAAATAAGATGTAAAGCAAGGTGTTAAAGAATCACTGATATAATGACAACAGTGCAGTTCAGAGTACTGCTGTAAACATGGTACTCAGGGCTTCCTTCTCTGCTTTTAAAATAAGTTGTGTGATATTTGTTTGGAAATATTTGAAGCTTTGGAAGACATTGGAGCTACAATTCATACACAATTCTTATCGAATATAGGCAGTCACGATACTGAAATAATGGATTATTTTTATTATAAGGGTGCAAAAAAACCTAAATCCTTCTTAAAAAGAGAAGGGTTTTTTTTCTAATTTATGAAATGCATACAAATACATGGGAATTAAAACATCTTGGCTTAAAGTATCAGGCAACTTCATTCTACAGCTCTCTCTCGTCATAGAGATGAGTTTTATAGGAGACAGACATTTGCACTATGTAATAAAGTTAATTATATACATTTTTACAAACACTAAACAACCCATTGGAAAAAAAAAAAGCGATGCTCTTTCACCAAACAGTTTTAGTCTTTTTGGTTTTTTTAAACTTGCTCAGCAACTTACCTATTGTTTCCAGTGTTAGTCATTAAGGACAAGAACCAAATGTACTGTGATTCCTAAACTGAGACCTCTAAGGAATTTAGGTATTTAACCCCAACATGGAGCCAAATAAAGTGCTCCTATGAAGTTCTGTGCAAAGAACATGGGGAAATCACAGCCTCCTCTTGTGTGATAGCCCTGAAGCACCCTCTAACAGACTGCAGGAACAGGAGCAGTAGGTTCAAGCCTTTCTCAGGTCGATGGATTCCTACCTCCTCTGAGAATACAGTAACTTCAGTGACTAACCCAGTGGTCAATTTAGTCAGGTAAAATGGCCACAGTGTTGTTGCCAGTTTGTAGATTATTTTGATTTTTATGCAATTACAGTCTTATGAAAAATGTGCAAACCATCTTGTACAACTCAAAATGTACAAACCAAAAACCATAGCTGCCTGTGCTAGATGAATGCCCTTTTCACTGGTTGAAGTCCTTTATTTGTTTTCTTTCCCCTTGCCCCATGAATCTTGCATCCCTGGTTGCACTGTGGCCAGGATAGGCGTTTAGAAAATTTTCACCTTCTCTACCCTCTTAGTTTTACAGCACACATAATATTCTGCTAGAGATGTACTTCTATTATAAATCTCTTCAAAGCGAAATAGGGAACCGATGGACAAGCATGTTATATTCACCATAGCATCCTGCAAAATCTGGGTATTATCTGTTATCTGTAACTAGAGTAAGCTCTGTTAATTTCAGCACTTGCTCTCAGGAAAATTCAACAGTCTGGACCCTATGCACATAAAACATGTGGGCTCATCCCAGAGGTACATGGAATGTCCCTGACAGGGGAGGAGATCACTCAAGGTACCGTTCATGGGCCACAGGCTGCCTGGAGGCAGCTCCCTGTTTAGCTTATGAGGGCAAAGTATCAGCTCTCAGCATCTTGTGACCTCCATTAACCATGTTCATACCAAAAGTGCCTAATGCTGGAGGCTTGACTCCTCTAAAGCTCCTAAATTCAGAGTATCACTGCTACTGGGTAGAAATGTCCTTTTTTAGTATTATTTTTATTACAGCAACATCTAATTTTTCCAAAGCCAGCAAAATGTCTGACATCCCAGGTTATCCATAAATACCATGAACATTTTAAAGTTTTATTTAAGAGAAATAGATGGATTAATAAAGTATATGTCCTACAGCTAAACCAGCTGGATCAATGAATATTTTTTTTCTTTTATCTGGATGTCACAACAGACAGACGTAGGCAACACTAAGCACAGTGCACAAGCCTACCAGATGCCTTTCTGATCGAATCTAACATACACAAATGTATCTAAAGAATAAAAAGAAAATACCATTTCTGAACAATATTCAAACTACTTCAAAAATTGATCAAGCTCCATCTTAAAGCAGATGCCTTTTTCAGCTCTGAGCTTCACAACCTTGAATAGCAGCATTCTAATTTCTAGTTCAGATATTTTAATGCAAAATTTATTTAGTTTAGTCAACACATTGTTTCAGTTTAAATAACTTTGCTTTGCTACTCAAGCCAACTCTTGCAGTCTCGGCATGGAAGTTAGAAATGCCAGTTCCCTTGAACATCCTCACAGCACTCCTATGTATGTGTTCATGATCATTACATCCACAATAAAAGCTGCCCAGTGCTAGAGAGATTTTACTAGTGCCTTAACCAGTGTCACTAAAACTTTCAAAGATATACACCTAAGATCATATTTGCCTTTATCATGACAACAGAATAATATGAAAATCAATCAATAAATCAAAATTTCAAATCAGCACTGTGATATGGCTATTTTATTTACATTTCTATATGTAAGACAATTTTCTTCAAATTCCAATTCTGTTCCTTTATTACCATTCTAATAGAGAAAAAATATAAATCACTGTAAGAAGGAAGAGACAAACCTTTACTAGGTCAGGCTCTACTCTTTAATGTCCTTCTTTCATTCCTGAGTATCAACCAGGAAACCTAAATACCTTGGAAGCTGTGATAAGACGATTCACTTGAAATTCTACTACCCATGTAAATGTTTATAGTTTTAAGGCAGAGACAACAGATGAGATAATAAAAATTTAACTAAAATAAGATGTGAAAAGTCTGTCTTTTTTTGTCATTTTTCAAATCACACTTCACCACAAGAAAAAAAGAGTATTTAAAAACAGTCAGGTCTAACTCTGATGCCAGTAACGTGGTAATGCTGGCTGAAATAGAGTTTATGTTCAGCTCCGGCTGATGAATAATCATTTATCCTATCCAAGCTGTCTTAATTTTCTTGGTTACTAATATAATAACGGGTTGCTCTCATAATGAAGTTTACTTTAAATTTAAAGTAACCATTTTAATTTAATCCTTAAAGAAATAGTTTAATTGCTTAAAGAAACTTACACATACTTCAGAATTACACAATTTAATAATGCATGCCATTCCATCAACTATATTTATGGGATATTTTAGATATTAATATCATGTTTTCACTAAAATTCCTATTGGCACCATACACATTTCCTCCCAAGCTTTGGCTAGAACCTGGCAGCCTCAGGAAATTCATTTCTGAAGAGCTATGCAATAAGAAAATACTCTGAAATACTATGAACACAAAGCATTATTGTGCTCAGTTTTCAAAAAATTTTATGCTAGCCATGGTATTTATTGAATGCAGGTCAGACAGCATATTCTCCACAGACAGCATTCACCACTGTTCACTCACAAAGTGAAGATTCTTTAATCCATCCAGTTGGACACGCTGATTCAGTTTTAAGATGTTCTGCAGTACCTTGCAATATGGTATATGTGATTTGTATATAGGAAACATAATTATCAATTCTTTAAATTATCACTATCTAATTACAGCATTACTTAAAATAATACCACATAAACAAAATTCAGATTCTAACTTCAAAATCTACATGGAAAAAAAAAAAAGAGAGAGAGAGGAGAGAGAGAGAGAGGGGAGAGAGAGAGAGAGGAGGGAGAGAGAGAGAGAAGAGAGAGAGGAGAGAGAGAGAGAGAAGAGAGAGAGAGAGAGGAGAGAGAGAGAGGAGAGAGAGAGAGAGGAGAGAGAGAGAGAGAGGAGAGAGAGAGAGAGAGAGAGGAGAGAGAGAGAGGAGAGAAGAGAGAGAGAGAGAGAGGAGAGAGAGAGAGGAGAGAGAGAGAGAGGAGAGAGAGAGAGAGAGGAGAGAGAGAGAGAACTAGCAACACTACCCAGAAAACAACTGATAGCTAGTTAAGCACTACTGGCTTTGGAAAAATCTTGTTCAATTATCAACTCTTCTTAGTATATGGTCTCTGAAAATAATCTAAAAAGCACAACTAAACAAGTTCATTTATACTCCTGGGGGAATAATTATAAGCAGTTAGACAGAAACATTCTGCTTTCAAATCTACAGATTTATGGTTTACAATAAAAGACATAAAATGTCCTCATAACTGGTCAATGCAATTCTAATAGAAAACAAAACTCCAGTGGTTTAGTGACCATTCTCCCTGGAGATTTGAGATGTTTTACAGATTTCAATTCATAAATAGTCTGCATGACTCTGAGCAGCCCAATTTAAAATTACACAGAGCATATTTTATTCTTAAATTAAAATTGCAGTCATGTTAATGCTGTATCTATTTTTAAAAACAACCCCTCAAAACTGTGGTCTGCAATTGCAACAATGAATAATAAAGATGCCAGTACCAATACATAGTGAATCTTGTATCATTAAAGCTGGTACATGTCGGTTAACCCAGACATACTTTCTGAGCTCACTCATCAGATCACAAGATATTTATCAGAGCCAAACTTACATTTTCCTTGATGAAGACAAGTATGTTTTACTTGTCCAAAGACAGTTTTATAATTCATCTGAGAAAGAAAAACACAGTAGGCACCATTGGTACAACAGTGATCAGCCAAGGAAAGTGAATAGCAATCAAATTACTTTGAATAATAAATTGACAGAATATTTCAAAAAACCGCACAAATATGTAAGGCATTTAACTCATTTGGAGATGAAATCTACTGGAATTAAGTGACATCAAGACCAATGCTTAGGATACCTGGTAAATTCCAGATAATAAAGCATCTTAGATAGAACGGATGTGCACTTACTGTAGTTTATTTTTAATGTCTACAAAAGTAAAACTATACAGATGGATTTTTTCATGTCAGTTGTTGGATTTTCTTTTAAACAATATCACTAGCAGCTCACTTCTTTATTTCAGGAATACACGTTTCTGAACAGAGTCAAACATTTGCCTGGGGAAAACTACAAGATATAAGGAAAGACAAGCATGAGAATAAAACTATAACTCAGTGATTTGTAAGTGACATATATTTTCCTTTTTCTATTTCAGTACTTTCTTTACTTCCTACTTCTCGGTAATCATGTTTCTCCTTAGGAAAGGGGAAACTTGCCATCACTTCCTCCCCTTTACGTATCTTGTGCTACCCTCTGGTACTGTTTACCTGTAGTCTTGGCTAAATTTATCATCCTTTTAGAGACCTACCATATAATAAATACATAGCTGAAACATAAAAATTTGCAAGCAGGAATAATGTGCTTTGAGTGGCACTGCTGCTTGAAATGCTTGTTCAGTGCATCTCTTGCACAGGTGTGAGCAGGCATACAGTAGATTTACGAAGGTTTCCCTTTCAAATGCAACTACATAGTATTAAACACAAGATGATATACTTTTTCTTAACTAGATAATGAATCTATGGTAAACTTTAAGGGCAAGATTTAATTTGCATTGACTATGGAAATATTTTAACTAAGATAGTATTAACCTTTCCTTTCTAAAACTCTTTACTTAGAGGAGAACAGCTACAGTGAAATTTAAGGAAAAGAAAATGTAGTGCTAATGTTTCCAGAGATGAAGAACTAGCTCAGCTAGAATGAATTTACATTTTAAGAAATAAGCTTTTTTTCACACAGAAAATGCTTATTTTAGTGTACAAAATAACAAGCTACAATTCTGTGTTTCCAAGCCTAAGAAGAGACACTGAGATATTAGAGAGAGATTCAATGAGATATTAAAAATGAGTGAAATCATACTCTCAGCCTGCATAGAGGTGCATGAATCCAGGAAGGGAAAAGAATCGCCTGTTACGAGGCATACATTTAATGTAGTTGGTAACTCAGTAGAACTTGCTCTTGGTAAAACTCAGGAAAATACCAAAATTAAGCTTAGATTTTGGAGACATGATTGTCCAGTTTAGTGCCATACAACAGGAAAAATAATGAAAAGCTAAAAAGTGGTTTACTATGAAAATATGTATTAATTACCATACAATTCAAGATTGAAAGAGCATAAACTATTCCTTTCTCTATCTTTCATTTCTGCTTAGTTCTCTGTATAAAGATGCTTGCTTGCAGAGCGACTATGAAATTTTTTTTCTTCTTTAATATGCATGACTACTAAATACATATCCTTTTAGTTCTTGTACTACAAGAAGTCTAACTTCCTCCTTGTCTTTCAGATGCAATTTAAACGTTCTATAGTTTGTCTCTCAAACTTTAATGTTCTAGACCCCTTTTCATAAAGGGGTCTAGACTACTAAAAAGACTACAAAGGGAGAGGAGGTATAATGTCTACTTTGAAAAGAATCCATTAATTTTGGGTGCCTGAGTTTTCAGAATACTTAGCATTACACACATTTTATGGGATGATGAACTCCAGGCAGTTCCCAGAGACTTCACCATGACTGCTCAGGATCTGGCCTTCGTGAGCTGCTTCATGACATTCCACACATACAGCCAAATTTACAACATAGAAATGTCACTCTGGTAGGCTGCAAAACCTCACATTTTTACTACTTTGAATCAAAAAACATACACTAAATAGTAACTCTATCTTCAGACCTGGCCATGGTCTTTGTTATGTAATACAATAGAGTCCAATGCAGAGGGGCCTGGCCCAAACAGTGTGGATTTGTACATGAGGTGCTTGTTAACACCGTCTCAGGATAAGAGATTAGTCCCTCACACAGCCAATAACATAAAATGTCACAGTCACCCTTAATTCTGTCATTTCCTGGCTTCTAAATATTTGCAAATCTGCATATTGATAAGGTAACTTTTGTCCATTGGAAGATGTTTCTTACGTGCAACATACATCTAGACAAGAAGATATAACACTAGAATAGAGGTTCAGAGATGGGCACAACTTAAAGATGTTCGTTAAGACTGAGATTTGCCTTCAGCTATTCTATGCTTTAATATAAAAATATATTTGGCTAGGTTTCATCTACAGCTTCCTTCTATGAAAATGGAATATCATATTCTCAAACCTTTTTGAATCTCAATTATCTTTGCACTACAAGTCAGCTGTAAAGTACAAATTACAGAAGGAGGCAGACAAATGTTCAAGTCTTTCATCTGTTTACAACCTGTACCCAAATTATAATTGTTTTCCAGTAACAAAAATAAAAAGTAATTTTCTCATTAGTATTTTTCATATATACTCTTTACTTGAAAAAAAAAGATTTTTTTTTTTTTTTAGTGGGCAATTCTTTAAGTTTGGGGCTTTTATCCTTTGATGTTGAACAAAATTTCTAAAGACAGATTTCAAATACATAGAATTTCAGTAAGGTACTTTATAAAAATTCTATAGAAATAAACAAAGTCATGCAGTGGCTTCATTTCAAAAATTTCTCACATCATATTTATATTAGCTAGCTTTTCCAGTTACTCTTTCTTTCTGAGCTCTCCCTCCCTCCTCTTTTTTTTTCCCTGACTCAGCTTCTTTTTAGAATTGTCTTCCTTTGGCATATGGTAAAAGGTGTTTCATAAACTTGGGGGAATAGAAGGTATTCATATGGAGAAAACAGATACAGTTTCTTCATGAATTATAGCTACAATGAAACATTTATTCTCTGAGCACAGATCTTAAGCTACCACAGTATATCCTCACATTAAGCAAAATGAAAGGAGAGAAAAGTATGCTGTTTAGGCACCATAAACTATTTAAGAAGATCTTTCACTAGGAAAAAAAAAAATCAAATGAGTAATAAATATGCAGAGACAGTGAATGTCTATGACTCACATGTCTTTCTTTAAAAGTTAATTAACTATGCCAAAATGTTTTTATGAAGGCAGAGGCCTACTCCTTTAGACCAAATCATTTTCTCTGTGTATTTCTGAATCAGTGACAGGCTAATGATTTGCATGACAAAAGATTCATGGCAAAATCTTGTCTCTACCTATATCAGGGGGAGTTTTCCCTTTGATTTCAGAGGGTTCATTAACTGATTGCTGTCATAAACCCAAGATTTGGCAGTACTTGTATGTTTTTGAAGCTTAGATGTCTTTTGCTATGAGACTGACACTTCTACTCTACCTTCCAGTTTCTCTCAAATTTTGATTTTTCTACAGACTATAGAATGTTAAAATACTAGTTGAAAAAGCAGCCTGTCACGCAGGTGGTTACATGCCTCTGTTTCAAGACTTTATTTAGCTTCTCAGAAGAGAGACTGTATTGCACTTTGAGTCTTACACACAGCTAAGCAAACTGCCAGTGCTTGAACAGCAAACAATCCATAACAGCAACAGCATGATCCAAGTAGAGAGATGAGTCAAGATGCCTCTAACATAAACACTCCCAGCAGCAAAACAAACAAACAAAACACCCTCAAAAAGGAACTGTAAAAATATAAATAGTTGGTTCCTCTCTTTACTGACAATGTGCTTGCTGCACAACTGAAAGCTGAAAGTCTGAGATGGATTTAAATATCTCTCCCTGGTCTTCTGCAGCTGACGCATGTCAGGGAGGTGATGCTTTCAGTCTCTGGAGAGAAGAATGATGCTGTTCACACAGCACTTCTACTGACCAGCCCATGCAGCAGCAATGGTGTTTGTTGGCTTTGAAGTCAATGTCATATCTCCCAGCCAGAGGTAAAGAATTGCATTGGTGGCCACTAGAGGGAGAAGGATTAGGAATACAGTAAATTGGGAGCAAAAGGCACCCATGATGAAATCACATGGGACAAACTACAAATTCTCCATCACTGCCATCACTGGCAGCAATTCTCAGATACTGCTATGAGCTGGGAAGGAGGATGCAGTTGTTTTTACCTCCTCCAGAAGAGCTGTCCGTATGCCCTGACCTTGGCTGGCTGGAGGATAGGAGGCCTGCCTAGGATCATGTGAAGCACACATACATACACACAGACACACACATCCCTTATTTGCAGTTGCCTTCAGTTTATCTCCTTACTTAAAACTTCAGATGTCCTTTATCAAGAAAGCTCCTGTAAAAAGTAAATATCTCAGCTTAAAAAGAATCCCAGAAGAAACATCAGCAGACAGAGATACATTGTGCCAAGATTTAACACAAAAATGTACATATTAAATAAAGTTGAAAACAAAATCCCATGCAATAAAATAGATGTTCTTTCACTAAATTAAGTTTTGAAGCATATCTGAAAGAAATATTTTCATATTAGTTACCCACATAATTACGTTGTAATTTGTATGTTGCAATTCAGTTTACCCTTTTGCTTGCTTGCTTGGTATGCGTCTTACCTCCAGCACAAGTGGCAGAACATTCTGACCAAGGCAGATGATTCCATGCAAAGCCAACTTCATTGTCTCCACTGCCAGTGCGAGAGATGGGAACATTGAATTTATACCTTATACCCAAATTTTGTTCCTGTAGCAGAATCTGTAGTTGAAAACAACTGGTTATACTATTAAAACAGGCAAGCAGAGGGCAGCTACAATGATATTTAATTTAGGTACATGTTATGCCTTGTGGAAGGAAAAAGGGAAATAAAGCAAGCCACAAGAGTTCTTTCTAGTATTTCCAAAAGAATCCGGATGAAGTTTTAAAGCATACACAATAATAAAGGTGAGGTTTCTAATTTCTCCTTCTTTTACTACCACAAATTCATAACTTTTGTCAATTCTTGAAGCAATGATTTTGGAAAGTTTATTTTCATGAAATTAATACCTTAACTGATGGAAAATTATTTGACAGCTGATTTTTTTTTTTTTTTTTTTTTTGAGGTCAAAGTTGGTTAAGGACATTACTGCAACCTAATTATGCAACATAATTTTAAGTTCAATTATGCAACATAATTTTAACTTCTATCTGAAATCTCATGAGGAAGTACCCACACTGTAGTTGTGACCCTACTATTCAGACTTTGCTTATACTTTGTTGTTACTCCTGTAGTCACAAAAAAGTCATTCCCCCTCATTGCATTAGCCAACAGAATTAGTTTGGTGAAAAACACAATTAGCTTTTAATGAGTATCATTAACTCTCATTGCAGCTTTAGCAACACTAGTCACTATGAGCTTGTGGTTATCCTCACTCTTGTGCTTTTCCACATATCACCTGTCCAACATTATGTTCTCTTAATAAGTCTAGTCTTTGATCCTTTTTCAAACATTTTTGTTGCTAATATTAGGTATCATGTACATTAAAATGCAGCAATCTAATACACCTTACAGTTACTTCTCATCCCCTTTTACCTTGTAATATTTTGCAGACATATCCACCTATCCCTATCCTACCCTAGAAGGGTGGAAAACTACTGGTAAGAAAGCTAGTGGCACTGACTGAGAAAGTCACTATAATCATTACACAACTCATTTTATATGGACTCTCTAGTTATCCACAGCTGCAGCAGAAAAAAACTGGAGTTCAGGTGCTTGAAAGTGTTGCCTAAGATTTAAATACTCGGGGAGCAATCATTCTATACATGTAAGTGTCATGTCCGGCTCAAACAAACACTGAGCTGCAAATCTGGTGGCCCTGTTCCCACTCTCTTCCTCAAGGTAACAGTGGCCTCACTATTGCCTGTTTATCAGAGACTGGGTGCAGGGGCCTTGGGCCCATCTTCTGTCACATTCTCACATTCTGTACAAACCACTAGGAGCAAAGTTTGTCCAAACGATGTACTTTAATACAGGTCAAATCCTGACACTCTGGAGTATATCCATATGAAGTACAGAAATATGGTCTACTTCTCCCTCAGGCCATGTTTAAAACCAGGTATCTACAGAACCATTAGAAAAGCAGAGCACTCTGCAGATACCACACATCACCAGCACAGCCTGATGCAGCTGCTATATGCAACACTTCCGTGCCTCAGAAGTACGTAGAGATACAACACACATCCCATTTACAGTTTATTCCTTCATTATTCTGAAGCAACTTAACACAGCAGAGAATTATATTGGTGTATTTTCAGTGAGATTTCCTGGGGATTCCTGACTTTATTCCTCTTTTTCATTACAAGGTTTGCCTGTCTGCTTTGAAAGATAAGAAAGTTGAAATAAAAAATTTATTCTAAAATCCTAGAACTTGGTAAGCAGCATATTCTTTGTAAACACTACCTATTTTGATTCTATTCATGGCCTCATTTTTCCTCAGAATGTAAGTACATATTTATAAACTCAGAAATATATCAATTATAATGTTACCATGACTATGAGATTTTCTGATGTAGGGCCTAGGGCTTCCAAAGACTCGGGTTCGTCTGTTGGTCTCTTGTAATGGAAAGCTGTTCCAGCAACATCAAACTTTCTTGGCCAGTCTATAGTCCAGGCACCATTAATATAGTAGTCATCCTCTTCAGATTTTAAAGCTTAAAAAAAAATACAAGCCACCTAAAAATTGGAAGCAGCATTTATAATAGAGAAGCCATTGCAAATTAAACTACTAATCTGTCAGATGTATGAAAAATTCACATTATAAAACCTCTTCTTTAGCACTGGGCAAAATATTCCTCATGCATTTTGACCACAGAATCACAGAATGGTTGGGGTTGGAAGGGACCTCTAGAGACCCCTATCCCCCTGCTCAAGCAGGAGCACGTACAGCACATTGCACAGGATGATACTGCCTTTATCATAATCTTCAATATCGCGCAGATTTCAAGATGCACGTGCTATGGGAATTAAAAGTGTGCCACACGCAATCTGCATTAGGTATTCTCAGTCCTAAAGCTGAGCCCACCTGAAGTGTATTCTAAACAGATGTAAGTAAATCCCAACTTTATAATCAACTACCATTTAACTGTAGAACTATCATTTCTAGATTGTGTATTTTGTCGTGTGGGAAATGGAAGCATAGGTATCTCAGATAAGCTGAGAAGGAAAAAATGGAGAAGGAAGACTGAGTCTGAAACATGGTCAGCTCAACTCTTGCTCCTTGACCTTTATTTCTTTTTCTGCTCAATACATGTACCCAAGATATTTATACCACAAAAACAAATACTAGGTATTTCATCTCTAAAGACATTTTAGTATTCCTAGGTTACAGCACTAAACCATGAAAGTACAACAGATAAAATACAAATTTCTTAGTAAACTGACTGATTAGGTTGGACAAACAGATCATTGTTTGGTATTTTACCAAACATATTAGATAAAGTTTCTAAATGATACATATTGAGTTGAATAGATGTTAATTAGATACTGAGTTCTTAATTTAAGGTAATAATAATCATTACTAGATTGACATTCATATTTACTTCAAATAAAATATGTTCTTAAAAGGAAAAAGCTGTTTGAAAATATGCAATTAAATGGAGATTTGCTTTTTGTTTAAACAAAACACTCACTTTGCTGGACAGGGAATTTACACTACAATCGTAAGGAATAAGACATCTTAAGAGGAAGCTTTATTCTCAACTACATCTTTGTGTACAGATGGTTTAGCATGAGCAGTTAGGAAAGAGATCTTTACAAATGATACGTTTTCTAAACTAGATTAGAAAGAATTTATATAAAGAGCAGACAGTTGCAGAAGCAGTAACATTCTGCTGGAGACACATTCAGCAAGGGTTAGTAGCCGTTTCCATCAGTACTGTAAGCTCAGAAAAAGAATGTCTTTCCATAGCATAAATCTAACTTCACCGAGTTCTCCGAATTTACTCCAGAATTGCACATATGCTTTTAGTGAAGAAAACTATCTCTGACACACTCAGTTATCTGGCCTTCTTGAAATAACTCAGATTCTTATGTCTCTGTGGGTTTTGTAGCACAAGAAAAGTAGATAAAAAAGTGGACATTGGAGAACAATACAAATTGTGGGCAGTACTGTATTAAAAGAAAGGAACAAAACTCCAAATATTTATATATTTTAAGTAGGTAGATGAAATAACATTACAGCTGAACACCAATATTCTATTAGTGATGTCACTCTGTCACATAGCCAAAATGTCTATCCTCTCTGCTTTCAAAGATGTAGCTCAATTAATAGAATTGCCATAGGATCTTGCAAAGGCAGCAAGACATATTCAAGTGTCTTTTATTCCACCACTTTGTTATTCCCAAATGTTTTCTTCTCAGTATGTCTAGTCTGTATTAACAGCAAATAACAAGATGAATTCTTCAATTTTATTACTTAAGACATATAAATGAGAAAAAAAATGAGACATAAGTGAGCACAGGAGAACAAATGTTCTCATACATGTTTTTACATAATTCATCATTCTGACCTTATATGCTATCAATTACATGTTTTATGTACTCAAACTGATGTAGAAAGTGAGGCAGTTCCTTTTTTACTTGTCTGTCTGCCAAAGAAAAATGCATTTGCATTGTGTAAATAGATTTGCTCCATGTCAGTTGTAATGCCTAGGTGCAGCTCACACAGCTGTGAGCAGCATTCCAGTAATATAATTATATGACAATGTTGAAGCAATGACAAAGCCATTAGCATATGAGACAGAAGAAACAAGTTAATATCCTAATCAAATCACTTATTTGAGAATGCAGGAAGCCAGGGGAAAACTAGCAGTCAACACTGCTGCCTAAGGAGGACATAAAAGAAGATGTGAAGCCAGATGAATCCATTTCAGGGAAGATAAGAGCATTGCTCAACATGCACTTTTTTAGAAGCAGTGGAAACAGGCCATTTTGTTGTTGTTGTTACTTTTTGGATGGATCAATTTAAAAAGTGATTTATTATGTAGCTGCAGAAACATGCACTCGTGCTGGCACCACACAAATGTGATAGTGGTGCAGAAACGAGCAGCCAGAGATGAGGGGAGGGAGGACAGGTGCTGACTGAGTTTATAAAGTTGCCAAATATGTAACTGCAACCTAAACATGAGGCCAGGGCTTGCAAAAGACCTGGATCCTAGCTTAGGAACTGTGAGGTATTTGCTACAAGTCAGGCTGAAAGGAAGAAAGAAGAAACCTTGAAGCCAGTGTGAGAGCTACAGAGGGAGGCTGTTGTTAATTTCCACATATTTTCAAATGGAACAATTGATTTCTTAGACTGTGTTCACATATTTGGCAGCAGTGTATATAAAACCTAATATAACAGTAATATGCTTAAATTGTTATTTTCAGCTGAATCAGTTCCCTAATCTGTTTCATACAGTGATCATGCAAACAGCAGGCCTAGACAATAGGCAGAACTTCTTACAGATAAGGAGTGGGTAAAATGCCACTAAAGAAACCTTTTAAAAAATAATAACCCTTGAGGTACAAAAATAAACATATTTTTAATGACTTGAAGGTTATTTTCAGGGAGTAGACAAATTAGAATACTTCAGTTATAGGAACTGGTGATCCAATACTGGCTCACACTCACAGTACAGAGTCACACACGAAATGAAATGACCCTTCAGACTGCGAAAAATGATCCTTCATGAGAAGGTAAAGGCTCATTTGGAAATCAGAAACTCAAGAAACCAGTGAGGGAAAGGAATCGCCTATTTCTGTTAGCTAGGGCTTCTGTGACTTTACATTTTTAAGTCTGCGGACAGACACCAAAGCAGCTGCCTTTATTTTTTGTTTAAGCAAAAAAAATGGCAAATATATATAAAATGAAAGAAAAATCTCAATCTAAATGCTTTCCAAAGGAAGATCACTTTGCTTATAAATTAAAAGAATAACAAACTTAACTGCAGCAGTTAAATTTCTTCTGAGTTTCAGCTACCCACGGGATCAGAAAAACAAGTATTTTAATTTGACTATAACAACATTAATATTGGTAAAGATTTTGAAGTTATAAATGGCTTTATGACAACATGGTTCTTAGCATAAAATGACCATGATAGGAGGCATTGTGCATCTCCCTCCCACTGCCTCTGTTTGATGTGTCAGGCACAGGATATGTAAGCAACCTTACCAACAGTGCATTTTGACAAGGGGAAAGGGCCAGGGAAAGCATGATGCTGAAGGAATAATAAACATTCTTTTTTGCTGGAGCAGTGGATGTTATTCTTCCTGCAGAATGGAGACTCATAGTCTGCTGAATTATGGGGAACTGGGGGTAGGCAAAAAGAAGAGTAACAACTGAAGGTACCAGGTACCATCATTAATACAGTCAAATTAAAACTTAATGTCCCTGGAAGGGTAATTGTCCTTCAGACTCTCATTTTCATCACAGTCCTCTTCAACATGTTAATGTTATAGATATAGCAAATGCATATAGCCTAGTGAACTGCTGTTCAGCCTAAACAAACAACAACTTTTGGGAATGCACAGCTGTTAGTTTGCTGTACAAATGATCAGCTCTGAGATATTTTGGACTGAAAAATGAGTGTTCTTACACTACTATGATCTGAGTACTATATATACCGGAGTAGAAAAAATTACAGAAACATACTATTTTCAGTTTGGTAGAGCCAAATTAGTATATATTAGTATTACAAAAAGGAAAAGCAAATTAAGTCCCTACAACACAGAATAACTGTGAAATTAATACTAATTATACTTAAACTATGCTATGGTAGAGAGCACTAAATTATAATTAAACTGTGGTATGGTGGAGAGACATTACAGTTTAAAAGCACATCTAAGTACAAAAGTATGGCTGTTGTTGAAAGAGTGCTCCAAGGATAACACAGTGTTTTAAAACAGTATAATCCTAGATAGAGACTTGCCACGTGGAAGATGGTCTTAAGAGTAAGACTGCAGATCATGTGAAAGTTCCTCATCCACTTCAGCTCAATTTACAGCACTTTAAATAGCAAAGTTTAACCTCATCTACCCTGGCAAGGAGGGTTCACATGCTGCACTTCAATAGCTCTGCTTCAGGAGAATACTAAACAAGTCCTAAACAACCGCTGCTCTTTTTGCATATGTTTGACCACCACTTCAATCACCATTTCCTCCAATACTTCTCCAGTGTGTGCTTCTTTATGTTTGGCCAGACCAGAAAACTATACGTTTCATATTATCAATTCAAAAACTTTGTCTTAGTAACAGGCAGTTATGTAAACCATCCTCTTACCAATGTAGTTCTTTGACATTGCCACTTCTTTTACTTCAATGTGCACAGAACCCCTCGGAATCTGAATCACTTCCATATAGCCTGTAAGATAATGATGTATTGTTTAAAAAACACCAAGAACTAATATTTAAATCATTAAACTAACAAGAAATTATTTACTATTGAAAATTAATATTTAAGTCATTAAACTAACAATAAATTACTATTGAAAATTAATGACATATGAGATTAAATGTACCTGAACATTCTCTTTGATGATATATAGAAGAAAACTTTCTAAATTTCAGACACAAAAGTGAAAGTGACAGCATGAATTTAATACATAATCAGGATTTTTTTAGAAACAGCAATGAAGTATTTTAGACAGTGAATCACATGTAATTAATGAACAAATTAATCTTAGGTTCACAAGATAATTCAGGTTGGAAGGGAACTCAAAATGTCATTTAATCCAACTTCCTGAATAAAAGGGCCAGCTAGGAGATCACACCAGGTTACTCAGAGCAAATTCCCTACCTCTCTGGGCAACCTGGTCCACTGATGGACTGTCTGTATAGAAATATATTGTTAAATACTAGATTACATCCAACCCATACTAGATTTCATTTAACCCATACCATAATTAATCAATAAAGACGAACTTCACACTTCTTTTTTAGTATATAAAAGTCCAACTAAGTATCAAATAATTAAAAGTATTGTTTTACTTTACATAAATACAAACCATCACTGAACAAAAAACAAACAAAAAAAACCCAACAACAATAAAAAACCCAAATACTCTAAGGAAAGTCAAAGCTTCTAAATCAACTCCTTTTACGATGTCTGCATGAAGAATCAACAGCAAAGCCATGCTGGAAATTAGCTGATCACTGTATTTGCAAAATAGACATCAAATACACTGCACAACAGAGTGAATGTATACACGCATACCTCCTCTGGGCAATGAATCATTGAAGAAACCTTCAATGGCTTCACACGTACTCCCATCTCCTCCACAAACACGACATCTATCTTCCTTTGCATCAGACCCCAAAATATTATCACAACCTACATGCTGAGAACAAGTGAGAACAAATATTATACTGATTTTTCTTAAGTATAAAGAACATCAGAATTCCACAATTGAGTTCCTACACCTTGTTATTTTCCTAATAACACTTTTGATCTCATTGCATGTTATTCAGTAACCATAAATCCTCAACCCTCAGTTTAGCAAAGTACACAAGCACAGGGTTGTGCACACACCTTCAGGTAAGCTAGTGATTTTGGTGAAATCAAATAATCAGCATCAATGGCACTACTTTTGACTTTCTCTTTTAATTATGTTACAAACAGAATTGTTTGCAACAGAATGAACTAGTTAGAAATGGGTAAAGTGTTCACATATACCATCTTCCAACCAGAACGCAGTTGTAATTGGAACTATGTAACAGGCTTTGGAAGCACACACGGAATCTGCTTGTCTCCTGTTGCCTTTTCCAGTTTTTCTTCAACAAGGACCAGGAAGCAATTTAAAACACGGAAGACAAAAAGCAGAATTCTAGATAAAATTGCTTTAATATTTAAAAGAAGCTGCTGAAATTCAAATGATTTGTCTCAACTATGCAAATACCTTTTTTTTTTTTCTCTCAGTTTTACCATTTCATTAATAACTTGACTTTTACACAAGCTTGTCTCATGCAGGTAACAAGTGAGTACAAAAATAGTAGGAGTATAAAATGTAGGAGGAATGACAAAAATACCAAACAGAAACTAATAAATATTTTACAAAACATATGTAACCTTGCATTCTCCGTTTATACAGATATCCAGTGAATCAGCATTGCACTGAGTCCCATCTATTACTGCAGGAGCACGTTCAGTGTAAAAATTATAACCTTCAGCCAAGCAGTTTAATGCACACGGTTTAACCCCACCTAGACAATGAAAGCAATGGGAAAAAAAAAAAAGAGAATTCTTGAAAAGTCAATAATTAAAAAATAGATACATAATCAGATCTGAAATTTATAATCTTATCTCATACCTGACACATATAATGCATACACTTTATTTTATTTCCCCTTATTGATTTCTCTACTTGACTCTTCTTTCTTGCAAAAAACATTATTTCAGCTCATAGTAAGATATGGCAGGGTTGGGTGGCTCCATAATGATTCCATTATGTTAATACAACCCTAATGATTATTGAACAATTTTAAATCATAAAGACATCACTTCATCACTAGAAAAATGCAAAAAGTAAAAGAAAGTAGTCCTAATAATATGTTAGTTTAATCTTCAAAAATTACAGTCAGATTATAATTCAGTAGAAATCTAGTTCTGTAAATTCATACTACAAGTTATGCCAGATGATCACAACAGTCCTTTCGGGACTTAATCGACCAAAAAAAAAAAAAAAAAAAGTCATTCAATTAAATATAAAAATTCAAAGCAGGCCATGGAGTTATTCATGCAGAGTTTAGAACATAAAAAGACAACATAATTAAAGGGTAACTTCTGAACTCTAAAAGATGACATAAACTCCATTAAACTTGCTTAAAGTGTCCCAAAGAAAAAGAAAAATGCTGCTCCCCTGCTTCAAAATATCCTTTTCTGCACATTGCAATGATTTATGCCTCAATAGTTGAAGTAATCTTTTTAGACTTTGATAAATCTATCCGTCTATAACTGCTATTTCTCCTTTTTCTCACACTTTTACCTTAGATAAGAACTTCAAAATGATTTTTATATCAAACTCATGACTGTATCATCAAAGGCACCTACAGATCACATATGAAATCCCTAGCTCTATTGTGACTGTGGATTGAAAAGGGTTCCATATTTTAAAGAAAAACCCCAAAACAAGGACCACTCCCTTTGACAGTGAAACAAAATCTTACCCAAATATCAAGATGGTTCTTCTCTAACATTTTCAACTACGGATAAAAGTGCAAGGTTAGCAAACTTGGCTCACAGTACACTAATTAAAACTTTCATTGTCAGATGTTACTTTCTAGACAATATTTATATGACTTCAAAGACCAAGTATGTTAGTATAATTGCAAAGCTACACATTACCTCCAGTGTAGGGTTTCCAGTTATAGTACTTTCCCCGGAAAGGCATATTATCAAAGTCTGCACATTGTTTTTCTCGAAAATCACGGGCCCCTGAAGGACATGGCTAAAATCATAACAATAAAAGATTAATTTCTTGTAATAAACCAGCACAAGAGACTAGTATAGCAATTCTCTGCTTTGTTTTTGTTTCCCTGCTTTGTTTCCTGGCTCTGATTCTGACACTTGCTTTATTCCCATTAAACCAGTGCTCAGGTTGAAGTGGCCATTTTGAAATCTTCCTCAGGCATGAAATAACTAAAGTCATTTAGTCATTTAAACAAAGTTCAGTGTTACAACCATTTCCATGCAACTCAGCAGTCAAAATGGTTTCAAGGTATGCTTCGTAATCAATCCATTATATATCTCCTTACAAAAACACTTAAAAAAACAGCTGAAAAATTAAAACACAAAAATCATTTTGTCAAGAGCTCCAGGCTCAGCTGTTACAGCTAAACTGAGATCTTTTAAAGACATAATCAAAATGTAAACATTTTCTTAGAGAGCTGCTGCCTACTATCACCTTTGTTTGGAAAAAAACATTTGTTTAAGGCAGAGAATGAGACCATATGTAATATTTGGTGCTGATTATTGGTGGTCTCTAAAGGTAATCAAAACTGTTGTCATTTAAATTTTCACTACTTTTTATTACCAGTTACAAATTTAGACGTTAGCTTCCTTATTTGGAATAAAGGTAGATACAGATGAAATGCATCTCAGAAGAGAATTACAGAAGAAACTGAATTCTCTGCCTTTTTTCCTCATTTTTGATCTGTAGGTTTAGTTTGGAAGTAGTAACAATAACTAACCTTGAACATTCACATTATTCAAACAGCATATTAAACAATGCAATCAATGTTTAATGAGCTCTTGTAAGTGCAAGTTTCATCAGACTAATTATTTGAAATACAGATTAAAATCATTTTTAGACTCAAAGAGAGAAAACTTGTTTGACACAAATTACAGTTGTTAATAAATATTACTATTTTATGAGCAACAGAGGAGTCCATTTATAGCGCAGTCTTCCTATATACCTAACCAGTTAGTGCTGTTCAGGAATTCAAGTGAAGGGCCCATATAAACATTCAGAGTAAAATTTTACTGCACAATGCAAATATTAACATAATAATTATAACTCTCAGCATGCATTAATCAAGCTCCTATTATACCCAGCCCATTGCACTATGATTCAAAAATAACAGAAATTTTCTCCAGATTTAAAAGTGGTGTACTATAAACCAAAACACTGAACATCACTGGATGCTGGACAGTCTTGTAATTTACATTTTTTTCTAATAGTTTTTGAAAAAGCAAAATAAACTTTCATAAACTTGCCTTTTAACATTGGTATCATCAATTAGATTCACCTTTCTGCATCATCTTCTCCAAGCAGGAGAAAGATCAATCCTGACCTGTCAAAGCTTCAGTCTACATCGAATATTGGTCACTAGATCCCATTCTTCAATCCCAAATGCTTAGACACTGTCTCACAAGGCTGATATTTTAACTGCATGAAGCTACCATTAAAAGGTAATTAAACTACCAGCACACCCTTCAAAAATCACCAAAGCCTTTTCTGAAGTATTTACAGTAGGACAACACAATAAAATACAAAAAAAAAAGTAAAGAAGGATCATTACTTCTTTTCATTAAGGATGGATCGCTACTACATTGTTTAAAAAGTCTTGTGATCTGATCCTTCAGATGCAGATATCAAATGTCACTTTGATGCTGAAAATCTTCTTGCACAAACTTTTTTGTGGCTGTAGAGAAACTAGTTTTACCTACACTGAGGTGTCTACTCTGAAAACAGTTTTTAGCTCTGATTTGCATCAGTAGATCACGAATTAATGATGGTACTGTCATTTCCAGGGATAACTTAGCTACAGACTGAAGTGACTAACATAATTTAAATATCTTAATAACAGTTACAGGTCTGAATATGTAGAAATTCTGTAATTGTGGCAGAGAACTCAATAAACAGTTAGAGAAAGTACCATGAATAGTGGTGTGGCAGTATTCCTGCTTCCTCAATTTCTGCCCCCTCGCTCCATTTTCTTTTTGTAATTCTGCAGATGAAATCTTTGTTTCCTATGTTGTGAGTACAATTAAATTGGTTTCATACACTAATGAGGCCACAGCTTTTGGCTAACACTCCAAGTCTGTTAATCCGCAGGCAGATTTCACCATTTTGGTAAAAATAAATATTTCAATTTTAGTGGCCATTCCTCAAAGGAAGTACTCACAAGAGCTAGCAACATCTCAGGATTTTGCTCTTCTTCTGAATCACTAATTCACTCACTCTGAACTATTGCAAGTGAAGTCTGTGCAAGTGCAGACTACACTTACAAAACCTTTTTCTGCTTTGTATTTTCCTTTCCTACCTTTTTAAGTACCTCACTAGTGTGTAGAGGAAGTAACTTGAGAAAAGTATTCAAAACAAACAGGTATAAAAATACAAATAGCCTACTGTAAGGCAAGCTACAACACGCATCTATAAAACACAAGCTCTTGAGTACTCCCCGTGTACTCCTTCCACAAAGAGGCAACAATTGCTTATCTTCATTGGATAAATTATATCCTATTTTTGCAGGGGTATGGTATGCATATGTTTAATTCCGGTGAAATAACTTTCCAAACTATGCTAGGAGACTGCAAAATATGAAGTAGGATCCCATCAAATATATAGAAGTTTATAACCTGATCCAAAGAAGGTCTTGAGTAGAATACGATGCAACAATTCTAACTTTGAGTGGAAAAGCACTGAATTTAGAAAGAGTTTCACAATCATTAAGCCTGAAGCAAAAACAGAGTATTAATAAGTCATTGAATCAGTGTTGACATAACACTAAGTATCTGATCTCCCCAATATTTGTGCATCTCAGAGCTTCCAGGCAGGCAGACTCCAGTAATTGAAGTCATGAGATTTCTCATCAACAAAGGACTATCCTGTACATCACAGAGAATGAGAAACACAGATAGAAGGGCAGTAGTTGAGATTCAGCTTCTGTTCCAACAGGTAGCTCCTCAAATTTCCTCCCACTCCCCCCCAAAAAAAAAAAAAAAAAAAAAAGAGGCTTTTGAAAATGTTAAGAATTCTGAAAGCAATGAAAAATGTCTGTGAATGTAAAAGGCACATTCACAAGTCTGTGAAAAGGCACAAAAAAAGGAATCTCATGAAGGTATGTTTATGTACATACTTTCATATGTACAAAGCATTCAAAAAACCTTTCTCACTATTAAAAAAAGTTAGGAGACTCTTAACTGTTTTAGATGCATATCAGATTAAGCTTCAGATTTTATAGATATTTTAAGTAGATAATAAGTGATTTTAAGTTGTTATTTTGAAATTCCATAAGCAATTTTTTTTTTTAAACAGAGGAACTTTGCTTACAAAAATAGGTACATTATTTTAATAGCCAGAGAGGCTGGAATTAGAAAATAAGTTTCTGATGATTGTATTCTTTCTATTACCCTTTGTTTCCAGAACAAATTAGCTAATGTTCTTTTCTGCTGATCTCAGTGTTTCCATTAGCAGATGCCTTTTGAATTAAGAAGGCATATATGGCTTTGAAAGTCTTTGATGAGAAATATGCCTCGTAGGAGTGTGTGCATTGCCTCCAAAGAATGAAAATGGTTATAAGAAAGGGCAACAGAACTAACTCATCTCTGAAAGAAAAATGAAGTCAAGATGAAGGCACTTTTGTTTATGAATAGTAGGAGCATTAGGGAGTGCTACTTTTAAAATTACAGATGGACAATGAATGTTGACACTGCAGAAAAAACCTCAACAGGAGAGATGTACAAACAACACATTTCTCAAAAACGATGACAGATCTGCATGCTCCTAATGCTTACATTAATCAAACATACCATTCCATTAAAAAAGTCAAGCAATAAAGACCATCATAATTTTTAAAATAAAATCGACTAGCCTCAGCAATTCTTATTTATTTAGAGCCCTAAGAAGTATTATAAAAGAAATGGACTATAATCATTATAACCATTAAGACAGTAAATTTAAACTTGTCAGTCATAATATGTTTATGCACTGAAAAGGCATACGCAAAAGGTATGTCAAAAAAAAAAAAAAAAGATTCACAGTAAAACCATAACAATGGCATTTCCAAACTGTCTGGCTTGAGTCAGCCTGCTTGTTTTGAAATGAAATGCAAATTTCTTTTCCAGTTTCTTATTTAAATTATTGACTGAAATCTGAGTATAGGTAGGAAGCAAGTGCTTTGGAATATCAGGACATAATTATTAAGGTTTCTGACACACTGAAGCAATGTTTTGAAACAAACCAGTGGACGGAGTTCAATAAAGACAAAACTAACACACTTAGATAGGAACAATCAGCTATGTAAGATGACAAATAATTCCCTAAACAGTAGTTCAGAACTATCTTTAGTAGTTAATATTCTGGTTTCTTGAACCAGAGTTGTTTAAGAAATAATTTCAGAACTGTATCAGAAGAGCTGAGACACAACGCAATTGTTTACATCAACTCTCTCTTGGAAGGATATCAGGCAAAGTGTAACATACAGATTTCTAGTTGTCCTTTTCAATTAATGCTCTTTCTCAGTATCATTTTCTCCCCTTGAACTTTCTTGTTTTTAGAAATAAATATACACAAATCTGAACATAAAAAAAATGTTAATGCTATGCTGACTTGAAAACGTAGTATATTGCTCAATACTTTTATCTAGGGTAATTTTTAACTTTTTTCAATTTATAATATTGGTTTGTAATTTGATTTTGTGTACGTGGCTGTCTACACTGCTCCACTCAGTAGTAACTCATTGGACATGGCTCTAAGGTGAAACTAAACGCACAACCATTTTGATAACAAGAACCAGTGGGCACCTGATGGCAAAGCAGGAGGTTTAAATCACACTAAATAGTACATTTCATAGAATACTTATGACGACTGTGTAACAAAAAACGTGTAAGAGGGACTGCCAGTCCAGATACAATGACACAGATGGAAGGATGGTACGGATGCAATGCCACATTCAAGATAAACACTTAGTTTCTGGAAGCTTTTAAGATTACCCTTTGGAAAATCATGCCTCAGCTCACACAATTTTTATAATCTTTCCCTAAACACCACGGTTAGGGCACAAGACACTAGGCTAGACAGACCTTTGGTTCAATCAGGCATGGGAACTCATATGAAATGGATGGCAAAGTCGAACTCATTCTAGGCCTTAATGTGAAGCCTGCAGTTGTGCATAATATTGAGACATGGACCCTGACATTCAGTAGACCTGTAGGAAACCTGGAGGACAGAGGTCTCCAGCAGGACGATTTGCCAATAAAATGCAAAATTAACAGTTTTCATCAATCTTTTTTCTTACTGGAATGCATCCATTGATAGCAAAAAGAAAAACAGAAAAGTTAATTATACTTGGAGAGTGAAACAAAATTTACTTACATCAGTATTACAGGAGCGGTATCGTTTCCTTTCTCCAAGACAATATTTTCCTCCTCCTGAAGGCCTGCAAAAACATGTTTTATGTGTTGTATTAATAAAAACACAAGTTCATTACATGTGTTTAGGCAAGTTTGCAAGATACATATATTACATAACATATAAATAAAAATAAATACGGACACTTGTACAGTAAGTGTACAAAACTTCCACAGAATATTTCAAGGAGAGATTTTCATACATTTTATTAAATGACTATTTGAGAATTGACTTGCATTAGAACAGACGCAGAAGTGAATACTTTAACATCTTTGTTCTTTATAATTTTTTTATACTTTATTGCTTTCTCACTCTATTAAATTAGAATGAAACATGTGTAAACAAACTGTTTTGTGTTTATTTTTTAATCTTCTCATATAAGACTTAAAAATACAGCAAAATGCAGAAGCACTGCCTGCTAAATTGCTGGAGTCAGTAGCAAAGACTGCATTTTCTAGTTCAAGAATATGATTCTGATTTAAGTTATGCATTATTAAATCTCAAGCAACTCCAAACTAAGCAGGTTTTGATCTTCCTTCCAAAAAGGTCAAATAATGAATTATCATTGACATAAATAGAAGACTAAACCTATATCAGTTCTTTGATCATAACATGAAAGTAGGAAGGAAGAATATTTGTTGTTTTGCTTTACAGTTAAAGATTAAGGATTAAAGAATGTATAATTGGCCAAAATGAAAATCAGAATTATTTTGCATATTACAGATATTAAGCCAGGCAACATTAACCTAAAATACTCATATTAATTAATAAATTGAGGGGAATATTTTCCTTACAGAGACTTAAAAAATATTGTGTTTGCTTGCTGCACTGTAAAACATCCAATTATCTTTTGACATAACCATTGTTGTACAGAGAGACAGGAACAGTTAGAAATCCTAGGAAGTTATTGACACTTCAAACAGACTTTACCAATATTTGTGCTCCTTCTATCAGTGTGAAAAAAAAATTGTGCATATCGATAATTTTTGGTTTTGAATGCATTCAGTAATTAGTGATATTTGCCAGAGTGGATTGGTAGTTATTGCTAAATGCTAGTAGATACACAGACCACCTTCAACAATGTCTGTACATCAGAGTGGAGTTTTCTAAGCCTGCTTTAGAAAACAGGGCTCAAAGCAACAAAGATCCTCAATGTACAGAGAATACTAGTCAGCACAGAGCGAGAAAAAGGTAAGGAAGGAGTGACAGAAGTTGCAGAATGATTATGAGGAAAGAAAAAAGAAAAAAAAGCCTGATGTTCTGGAGGAAAGTAGTTTTTGAAATTAATAACGGGCAATATCCTGTGCAAATACCTATAGCTGTGATGAGGTAACCTGCACAGGGCAAGCAGCAACAGAAAAAGGAAAGAAAAAAAAAAAAAAGCAGTTATTCATTCAGCAAAGGACAGAAAGGAAATAAATATGCCTTCCTAATCTGAAAAGTGTTAATGACAGAGAGTACTTACCTGAGAGACCTTCTCTGGAACACTGTTCAGGACATTGGGAAGCAGACAGAGGTGACAGGACCAGTACGGATACACAAAACAGACCAAGTTGTAGTGGAGAAGCTGGCCCCACTTGAGAGCAGATGGACCAAGAGGTAGTAGTGGCAGAGAGAAAAGTAGCTGAATTGTCAGTGGGAAGTCACAACTAAGCGTTGGATGTGATAGGGCATAAATGTATTGTATGCACACAAATATTATTACTTGCATTTTATATGTAAAAAGCTGTATGTATATCTTTCAAATATTCCTTGTAGTTTTCCTATAATAACTGGCAATAGTTACATCCTAAACAAACATCATAGGCAAAGCATATTTTAAGTAGTAAGAAATAGTAGGCATTTTAAGTAGTAAGAAATAAGGCATAATTTAAGTATATTTTGCATGAACGATAAGCTTCAGAAAGAAAACTTGTCTGGTTACTACTAAACAAAAATCTAGCTGTCTTTACAGTACATGCATAATAGTTACAGTAAAAAATGCATATCTAGTGAGCTCCTCTTGTGTAGCTGTTTCTGTCTGCTATATTGAAGACAAATGTTGGCACGCTAGCAAAACATTTTTACAGATAACATGTGAAACCACAGTTCTGAACAAATTCCAAGTGTGTCTTTTTGTTGGCTCTGGCTTACTTTAGCTACTTACGCTGGACTGTCACAGTGTCTTATAGACGAGGAGACTCCTCCCCCGCAGGTCCTGCTGCACTCTCCCCATATTGACCACGGACCCCAGTCGCCATCCTTGCTCTGAGGCCAAGTGCCAAAAGGTACACACTCCCCCTGGTAACACCACTGAAAGATTTCAGAGAAAGAAAGCCCACAAAATTAGCTTCCAGGCTGATAGAGTTATCAGGACACAAAAATATACGGGTCAAGCATTGACCAAGAGATAACAAGACAAGGATTTCACTTTTTCTAGCCATGTTTAGACATTGGTGAGGCCGTGTGTGATTTGTTATTTGTCTTCACTAAATCCAGCAGTATAAATCGCTAATATACACCAGAAGTTCAAGTGAGCTTAAAAGAGAGATTTTCTTTGTTCTCCATGCATCCTTGTTAACGCTACACATTAAGAAAACTGCAAAGTAATTGTATTCTTTTACACACCTTAATTAAAGATTACCTTAATAAAATACCCTCCAGTCATGAATCATACAGAAGCTTTGTTACACAAAATCAAAAATTCCCCACTCCAGTATTTTTAAGAAAGTAATTTTCTTGCATTTTAAAAAGAAAATCTGGAAGTGGCTCCAATGGAAGATGAATTTGTAGCTGTACTTTGTCTATACTAACACTACAGACATAATAAAAGCAGAAGCGAGGTGTCAGACAGTACAGAAAATCATTTCATACAGTGACTGGCCATTTGTTCAGGGGCACAGTATGTGTCTTCATGCAGTAGCCGCACCTTTGCAATGCTGTTACCTACACCAGACATTCAAATCTACAAAATATAGCTGCTTAACATGAGTGAGCGCTATAATAAGTTTTCATGCTCTAAGTCAGAATCTTAAGTCTAAATCTTTTTTAAATCTCTCAGATGTATTAATGAAGTCCATAGTCTCAACCACATTCTGGCATCTTTTATGTCAGTGAAAATACAGACTAGTTTTATTGGTTATGTCCATCCTGGTATCAGTGAATTTGATATGTCCAGCCCATAAACACTGGTAGACTCAGCCTGGGGTTTATACTAGTTGGTATAGGAGAGACAGGCCTTTTCTTTCCTGAGTCCTAAGGCTCACCTAAAGCCTCAGTCCCAACAGTGTGTATGGGATGAGTTCTGATCTGAAGAGGTAATGAATGTCCTGAATTACTCCAGATTTTTACGAAAGCAAGTGAACAGTGAATTTAACCTTCAGTTATTATTTTGAAAAAAAAATAATAGCCGTTTGACATGACCAATGATTACACCGTGCTAGTCATGGATTTCTTGATTTTTCTAGTCACATTCATCATGGTTTCTTCTCTCAAAACATTTTTATCCCCAATGATTCTTGTTTCTCTGTACATGTTATTCCTGAAACTGTTTTAAAGGACAGCTATTGCAACCCAGCACATTTCTGTTTCTAATATCTCATCCTCTAACAGAGAAATAAAAAAGAGGGTTAATGTGTGCCTACAAAACACATATGAAGCAGAAAATTTAAATTTCAAGTTCAAAATGCATTGCTTTTCTTAAAGAAAAAAAGCAAAACAAATCAATAAACCCATCATGGACACAATGTTTCATGGAATTTTACTCAGGAAATGACCACTCATCTTTCTTGCATTTGCAATAAATTTCCAACTCTAAGGTTTATGCCAATAAACGAGTACCTGTTAGGGGAACGTAACCCTCGTATGGAGTGTCTCTTAAATCTAGACTATTACGGAATGTCTGTACAGCACATAATGCAGTCCATAAAGTAAACTCATGTATTTTCAGCTAGTTAGATCCACATGTGTAAATATACCCATATATGGCAGTGTTTTGCAATGCCTCTAATGGTTCAGTGACAATGGGGAAAATCATATGTATACGAACTAGGAGACATGAAATTTACCTTTTTTTTTCTTCATTACAGTGATATCAAATAATTATTATAAAGTGGCAATGATTACATTCACTCAGGACAATAATCCCTTTATAGTGCTTTATTAAGGAGGCCACAGGATTACAGTTATCTAGCGCTAGAGTCACAAGCTAAAAATTAAAATGTTGCTTAGAGAAAAAAATGCTAATAATTTGGATTAGAAGTACACTATAGAAATATTATCAGCATGTGATAACTCAAGTTTATAAACTTGGAAAGGAAACAACTAAGAGTTCAAAGTTAAACCCCAAAATACCACACATGCAAATCAAACATGCAAATAATCCCACCTCTATCTCATTGTGAATGTGAATGTCGGGTGTATTTTATTAGTTTTATTTTCCAAAGCAGAATAAAATCCTTGCAACTTCCTCTACCATCCAAACATTTATTTCTTATATTTCCCATATGCCCTCCTTCAATGCTGATTTTTTCTCCTCCACTGAAATTAATTCTGATGACTTACTGCTCATGTTGGCTGGTATTTTTTAACTGAAAGTTAATCTTTCAGCAGAGGCTAGTGATGCATACAATCTCTTCCAGAGTAATTCAAAATGGCCAAACTTTCATTATTTATACAGAGACAAAGGAAATATGTTTCCTCCGTGAATAATAGCAACCTCATCTGCTGTCAGGAATGAGGTAGGGAATACTAGGTAACCAGTACCTGAGAAAAAGAGAAGATCTCATCTATTTTGAAAAGAACAACTCTTCGTGAAAGTTTGAGAACTGAAACATTGTTCTTTTCTCTCATCAAGAAGTAACTCTCAATTAATTCAATTTAAAAGACAGGGGTAGTGCATTAAAATATCATCACATAAAATGTGCACAGAGTTTTACCTCTGTAAATAATGGGAGCAGTCTGTAACCAAGTTAAGAGATTTATAATGATATGGGTTTTCGATCAGTTTTTATTTTGCTAGGAAATTTGATGTCCAAAAATAACTTGAATTTTAACCACCAGATAATCCAGCTTTATAAATTTTTCTTTCAGCATGCTGTGTTTTCACTTTTTTGCACATTTGCCACTTGTTTATAGCCCTGGCACACATATTGGCTGATGATGCTATAAAAGATTATTTTTTTATTACTTGAAGTTTAAAGACAAAAACACAAATTTCTATCAGTTTCCTCTTCTTGTTTTACTTATGTGCAACATCTCCTGAGTAGTCTCTTTTTAAACGTACCAGCTAGTTCACTTTCACAATTCATCTCTGAGGGTGTATGAGGAGACACATCTGTTTTTGAACTGATTATTATAGGAACAGGAAAAAAAAGGGAACCTTTCTGACCTCAGCTAATACATAAACCCTTTCATCAAAGCATGAAGGTATTAAAACTTGAAAACGCGACAGATCTACAGGTTCTGTCAGTAGCAAAACAACACACTATTCTTCTTCCTTACATGTAGAAACAGTTGAACAGCTTTTTATGGAAAACATTCTGAAAACTTTCAGGCTTAGTCAGACATCTACTATGGAAAATTTCAACCCAAAGAGGTAAAGTTTTACAGATTTATATAAGCAATTGAACAGAAGGTCTTAGAATAAAGTGTTAGGTAATTTTAATTATGGAAATCCTATTAACTCTGCCTGTAAGATATTATTGCATCAAATTTTGCTCAAATCTGAGTTAATGGTTACACAAAATTTATATCAGTGTAACTAAAGCAGGCACAGATCCTACAAATATGATAAAGTACTCTAGGATCTTGTTAGACTTTTGGACAGGGAATGCTCCATTTATTATATATTTGGACAAAGCCCAGCAAAATAGGCCCTAATTTGGTTGTGGTTTATAGGCGTGACTGCAATATAAATGTTATTATTATTGTAATAATAAATTGTTATAGAATTGTAAGCTATTATTTTCTCTTTAGTATGTGGTGAAGAGAACTACATATTTGGAAAGAACTTTTGTTTTATGTTTTGAGTTTTTTTTTTTTTTTTCTATCAGAAACTATTAATTTACAACAACCTATGAAGACACAATTTAAAGATACCATTCTCTGCTGTTTAAAGGCATGGTGAGTTTATGTAGTATCTAATGATAAAGACACCCATGATTGGAAGAGGTGTTTTGTATACAGCAAAGTGATTAAAGTCTCTGGAAACTGGACACAGCAACAATGTCTTAAAGCATCTTGAATTTTCATTGTAGTCTCATGCTTTAAAAAATATAAACTGAAGTAAATTGCTGCTTGTCATTGACAACGAGCAGTGATTCCAAAATAAACCTAGACTGTTGATTTAAGAATAAGGCTCCTAGCATTTTCTATTACTGTAATAAAAGGTAACAGTTTTGGTAAAATGCGCAGGTCTCTATTTTTATTGGCTAACTAAAAGCACGACATTTTTTAAATGACCCCTTCAGCAAATTTATTTAACATGGTTTACCAATATTTCCAAACTCAGCATGGAAAAGCCATCAGAATGGCACTAGGTCAAGGGCCCTGAATGAAGCCGTCAGCAAGGATTAATAAACTCTGACAGCTGCCCAAAAGCTTTCATTCTCTTTATTTAAACATCAGATTGCAAGTCAAAATGCAGTGTAATCTCTGTTGAAACTAGCCCAGCTAGAATTGCAAGAGTCAGAACACAGAATAGATGACAGTAGTCATTGTTGGGGGTGGGGAGGTGGGGAAAAAAATAGACTGGAGCAGTAAATCTTAAGGACAGATCTAGTAATTCTCAAAAGAATTACTGGAAATTGTTTTATATAGTGAGTTCTTGTCATCTTGCCAGTTTGAACAAATCTTCATAAAAGGATTCACACTATCTTTACAAATGGACACAGGAATTTCCTTGATCTGCATATATTCTACTCTTTTAGTTTTAGTCTTTTTAGTTTTCTTAGCATGGAAATCATTTTCAGATCGACTTCCTAATCTACTGAGATACAATCAACCTTTTAAAAATAGCAATTCATACATCTTTATATATATATAAATATTTTTATTTTTATATAAATATTTTTATATATATATAATATATATATTTTTTTATATATACATAAAAAAAGAGCAAGTTTATTCAATATTGACATTCTGTAGCTAGATCTCAGACTGCATATCAAAGTCCTTTAAGGCTAAAAGACAAAACAGAATGGTCACTGAGAAATATGGCCTTTTAAGAAATAATTTTATTATGGAGTTTTTTTTTATATGCATATATGATTCTGCTTAAATCTGAAGGAATAAAGATTCTTTTATCTTCTAATACAATAACAGACATCAGACCTTTTTCAAAAGCCCACTGCAGATCTAGAGAGTTACAACAGTCCTTTTTAGGAGAGTGCTATAAAATTTAACAAAGATGAAAGTAATAAAATTTTTAAAGAAATTACTCATGAAAAAAATGTTGTTTTTTTTTTTTTCTGAGCCAGGCTTAGAATTTTACACTCAAGACAATTTGTTTATTAATTAGATATATGAAGTAATCATTAAATAAATTCTGTCAGACTCCTATTAGGATGTGAATGTATTCTAAACTAATACCTTTTTTTTTTGCACTCTCACAAGGACTCATAAGGACCTATGTTTTCTAGTTCTTTATTTCTCTGTGCAGTGTTGAAACAATAAATTATTTGTACTCACCCCCTTCTCTATGCTCCCTGTTTGGCAAAGGGTACCTTCAGCTGCTGGAATGCTGTTGGTGACACAGCGGTTACTTTTGCTGAGGCACCAGAGCTCTCTACACACTTCCTAGGAAAGAAGGCAGAAGCAAGTTGTTCAGAGTAACAGCCTCAATTTGTTTCCAGTTTTCATACAAATGCATGTATATACAAATTTGTTTAACACAGACAATAAGAGAAAGAGTCAGAGAAATAAATAAATAGAGGGCTGCAAAACACTTTGGATCTATGTCAAAGCCACCATATTTTACCTAAGAATATTTTGCCACAAAATATCTAGAAGCATCAAATTGTAGACTATGAAATGTGTTTTTCACAGCTTCCACAGAAGTGTTTTCTCAAAGGTTGTGGGTTTTTTTTGGATCAGTCTAATAATGTGCTTTGTATATTTTGATGCTGTTTAAAAAGTAGTCTTTGGATGTCCTAGAGAATTTCCCTTTCTGTACTTATCCACCTCAAAATTCCATGGTAAAAGGACACTAAGAATTTTCAAATATAAAACAGCAACATTTTATTTAAACTTTTATTTATTTATACATTTTAGTTTTCATTGGTTAAACCAAGAAGTTTCTGAGATCAGACTACTTGCACTTTTCTTATGTAATATACGCTAAAACAGAGCATGTGTATTTAGCATTATTGAGCTACATACCAAAATATTTCCTTTAGGCTTTTTAGATTTGTAGGTGATATTTCATAGATGATTTAACTACCCTAATTCCTTATACTGTCAGTATTAAATAAACACAGTTCTTCAAATAATCTTTCTTTCCCTACAATTTTTTTCTCATTTATTTTTGCAGTTACACATCTAAATTAAGCCAGTTTTATTGACATTAGTGGTTCATTATTAAAACTATCTAGGATTAAAATTCATAATGTGGGACATGACCCAAAGTTGGCTTTGGAAATCTTCCTAGTCTTCTCAGTTGCCCTTGGACTGGACTGTGTTTGCAGAATGGAATCAAAGATTATTTGTTTTTATAACAACTTTCATGCATGATAACCTTTGTTACGTTATTCTGAGATCTGTATAAAAAGTTCACAACTTGCTTATACATATTTTCTATTTTCAAAGTATTTTTTTAAATTTGAAAGACAAATACTCAAAGTATTCTTTAAAATGATACATGATGGTCACTACTATCACATTTTATTTAATGGTTGCTTGAAATCATATATCAACCATCATAAAAGATTCTCATGTAGATTCTGTTATTGAATCTTTGCACAAAGAGCAAAATGGAAAAGATACTATGAGTGAAATAAAGCTATTAGATTCCCCCAATAATATCCTTTGTTTCTCTGAGAAAATTAGTATGTATCTGGCACCTTGGCTGTCTTCTATACATCTCAACAGTTGCAACTTTAAATTACAGACTGAGTCACATTTCTAGCATTGTACTGCATATATAAATGCACTTATACATGTTAACTAGTAGCTGCAACAACAGTTGAACAGTACAAGCTTTTCTTAATGATTAATGATCATGATTAATGATGTTTTAGAGGTAGACTTGCATGCAAAATTCTGTTCTAAGTTTAAAATCAGCAGGAGTACTGTATTAGCATCAATATTGCAATAGTATATTAAGTTATACTGTTGATAAAAGTTGGATTTCTTAAAAAAAATCTGTTAAAAGACACTATATTTGAATGGTCTGAAATAATGAAGAATGATTTCTGACACTTTTTGGAGTTTCCATCCCATTTTTGACAATACGGTCTAAGTTATTTAGTTATATTAAAATGATGCACCAAATTCTATTCTATTCCACTGATGGCTCTACAAATAAAGAGAATTATGTATTAAATTAATTGATATTCTTGAGGCTGTTTCTCATAGAAATAAAAACTAAAAGCCTATCTGAAGTCAATGCAGAACCCATTTTACTTTTCAAGTTACAATTTATTGTTCATAAGTACTGAAACATTAGAAGCATTTATTTAAATATCTGTCTAAAACACTTTTACCACTCAGATGACAGCATTTTCACATAGGAACACATTCACAAAAGTATATGATTTAGAAAATCACACAGAAGAGGGAAAGCACAGAAGATGTCACAAACACTATTGAAAGCTCTCTAATTAAACTTAGATATTTTACAACCATTAAGTTGCTTCAAAATTCATCTTTAAATTAAAACTTTAAGTACTAAATCAACCAAGAATCCAAGCTTCAATCTAGTATTGATTTCCCAGTGAAAATCTAAAATTGCTTTCCTTTAAACACCGTATGAGGTGTTTCTATCATAATCCTGTCTTACTTGTTTTTAATTCAATTTTCTTGCTCATTTACTTCATGTGGCTTATGTTGTCATATTGTATTTAAAAGTATCAGACTATGATAAAATGCTACTTATGACTCCACAGTTTATTTTGTATCTAATTAAGTTTACATGTTTAAATTAATAACTATGCTTTCATTGCAAAATTTGGATCAATGCTCTGAAAAGCTCCAAATTTAAGTGCATTGGGTAATGAAGACTTCTATCAGTCCAATGCAAAAACACAAACAAAATGTCAGAACTAAATCACAGTCTGGAGTTTGAAAACGTTTATATTTCAGGGTCATCTGAATCCAGAATTCTGGTTCGTGTTCCAGGGATTATTTAGAGAATTTCACTTTCTACAGAAATTCCTATGTCTACAGAAGTACATCATTTACACTTTAACCTAAGAGGAGAAGTAAGAATGAAAGCATGCATTTCACTGCCAGGAAATTTAGCATTTTCTTGTCAATAGGAAACACTCTTTCTGTGTACTCAAGCTGCTCTGCAGCATTACACTCCTCCAAATTCACTTCTGTAATTAATGTCTCCCATATTTTGTAATTCCAAAGTAGGAATCAACCAAACAGTGTGAATTAATCGATACAGCACTCTTAAAACACTTATTCATCCATATGCTTGCAGGTTGACTTTAGGCAACTCAGCTTACCTCCTTACTTCATAAAATGAGGAAAATGTTTGCCTTATTCCTGAACTACTTTGGGAAACAGGATTAAAATCAGAATATAAAAGCTATATATTATTATGTCCTGGTAGTCCTTATTCTACCATTAATTTCAGAAGAATTTGCCTCAGCAAATCCCTAAAGGCAAAATGAAAGTAATGTACCATTACTATGGGCTATATCCTACTATTAATATTTAAGCAAAAATTGGAAAGGAGTCCATGATGACATCCAATAACCTCATATCAACAGAATTTATTTACAGAAAACTATGGGAAACATTTCATTTAAATTTACTCATTCTTATTAAAAAGATATTTTACTTCCTCCTGCTGTACTACATTTAAAAAAGAATGGAATTTGGAGGATGGTCTCTATCACCTCATACATGACATGAAAAATAATATTGATAGCTATTTGAAAACAAGGCATCTATCTTTAAAAAATGTGGAAAATCCATCTGTGCTGTTTATCTATTAAATGAAAATGGAAATGTACTCAATATATAGCTGCATGGCTTTTTACTTTCAGATGATTTTATTAGGGTGCATAAAATTTTCTCTTCCCCAGAACAACCCTCTGTCTGGTACTACCTTCGGTTCACAGTTAATGATTTTTTTTCTTATTAACATTACGCTATCAGAAACATCTCTCAGAAGCTTTTTAAAATAAGCTGGTCTGAAAAACATACAAAATCCTGCCCTGGAAAGGTCAGTCCAGAACCACTACTAGAAGCTATACTACTTCTTTTCTCATACACACACACACAAACACCCCCATACAAGAACATATGGTGACTCTTTAGGGAAGCCCTTCCTTCACTGGGGACTCTTCACAAGGTTATCCTTTTCCAACATCTAATTTGTGTGAACAATTTACTGAAACTAAGAAAACAAAGAATAGTGTGAAAATCAATCAATGACCTCTAAGTCAGTCTCTGAGTGTGTGGATTTAAAAGCTATTAATTTTTAAGGGAAACAAGGGAAAGTGTTTCAAAAATTGAGGAAACATCAACTGAAGCTGAGGCCTTTCACAAGATCAAGACAAGATAGATGACAACCTGTAACGGTGTATCTTAGGGCTCCATGACTTCAGTTTGGAATTCGGATGCTTGTGTTTGCAGTAAATTTAACAAAGCTGAACCCATCTAGAGAAAAAAAACAGCAAATCAAATTATCTTCTTTTTGCCTATGTGTTATCAAGGATGGAGCCTCTTTCTGTCATGTCATGCAGAGTTATATATAGGCACTTTAAATTATGTAATATCTAGGCATCCTATACCATCATCATCATAAAATGGTAACAGTACAGCACAATGAAAACTCAGGACTATGAGCAAAGATCCACTTGTGCTGTTCTTAACACTTCAAACACTAATAAAAGCCTCAAATAAAAGCTAGCATTTTGGCCCATAATAATAAAAGAATAAAATGGGAAATATATTGACAGCACATATTAAACTATGATAATGGAGGGGCATTTTTTCAAATTAAATTTTATAATCTTAATTAGAATTTACATTCCTTTAGCATTTATGAGCTATGCTGCACCTCTTGATGAGCATTTGCCAGAATAGTGTATTTAAATAATTAACTTGAATTGTGGCTTACAGTTTAGATCCAAAAACCATCTACCTAAAATATTTTCACTATCATTGCTGAAATATCAATGGCAACACGTTTAAAATCAGAAGGATGATTATAATGATGGGCGGACTGCAGAAAGTTCAAAGTTTAGTTCAGATAAGCACCCAAGTTACCACTTCAGTGTTCCAAAAAACATGCTCATTAAGTGGTGCAGCATGTTATATACCACAACATGCTGAAGGAATGTGAAGTATAATTCTTAAGGCTCAGTCATATATTAATACTACCACCAAACTTGCCTAAATATTGGGTGCTTATGTGAACTTACAAAAATTACAGAAGCTCCCCAAGGTCATTCACCTACAAACAGCATCTTCCCTTTCAAACCCATGCAACGTACCCTGTCTTTATCCACATCCCATAACAGTACCTAGAATGTCACTATTGTCCCTTACTGCACTTCTCCTACTTCCATCACTCTTTTCCTCTCCTACTTTTAACAGCTTTATTAAATTGAAACACTATT